TTAAATAGTTTAAATAGTCTTGTAGAGTCTTAAAGAGTCTTGAAAAGTCTTAAATAGTCTTGAATAGTCTTAAATAGTTTAAATAGTCTTGTAGAGTCTTAAAGAGTCTTGAATAGTCTTAAATAGTCTTACAGTGTCTTGAATAGTCTTTTAGAATCACAGATTATTTTTTATTAAAAATGTCTCCCAAATATTTACTAGAGAAGACATTCTAAAAAATTGCTACTCGTTAAGAAAAAGCTGGCCTATATTCTAGACTTAATATTGGTGGGTGGTTGTGGGAGGATCAGATAACTGCCAAAAATAGCGTCAGCTTAAGACGGAAAGTAAAAGTCTGCTATAAGCCTCCTCCCTGCACCCCAAATGTTTTGATTCAAATAACAGAGGTTTGTTGTGTAGCCATAAAATATTGATGACATATTTTATAACTTAACTACTCGGTCTTACTCCAAAATGTATGTAACATAATTAGTTTGAAAACTTTTTTTATCATTTTGAAAAGATAGTTTAAAAAAAGAAAACTTCGTCCAAAAATTGTTTGAATACCATAAGTACCTATAAATCAAGACATGATATTCATTTCATGATAACTGAGACTATATTACGATATAATCATATATGTTCATGTGTGGAGTCAGAACAAAATTATTTGAATGAACAAATGCTATTTGTTAATTATTTTTTTTATTGGCTGTAAATTACTGTAAAATTTTATTATCAGTTACAGTACTATTTTTGTCTAATTTTTGGCATAAAAATAACTCATTTATATTTTTCTACATGTAATAATAAAATTGATAAAAAAAAAAGTGCTACAGTGGGGTCTTGGAATCTGAACAAATTTCGAACAAATTGTAGCTCCCAATTGCTACTTTGGAACCCAACCACGCAGCACATTAAGTCTTTTTAAAGGTGGACATTTTCTGCACAATCAAATCCAGGACGCTCTTTCGGGACATTTAAAATACAAAATGTTGGTGCCAAAGCGATCCGTGAGAGCTCGTCTGTAAGTTAGACGTTCTCTTACTTTGTTTTATTAACTTAATGTTAATTATATTTCTTTTAGTTGTGTCATTTAATTATATCTGGATATTAGATGTGCTCGAAAAAATTAATAGAAAAAAAATATATATAGTCTTCAACTCTTCTGTTACCTTTCATGACAAACATTGACAAATTAAAAAAAAAAAGGTTTTGTCCCTACCACCCACCCATGGGCGCCCGCAGAAAACTTTCTAGGGGGGGGGGGCAAAAAAATCGATTAACTTTCCAGAGGGGGGGGCGCAAAAAAATTTTGGTAATGTTTTAATGTAGTTTTAATTTACTGTAGCGTATTTGTATGGTGAACGAATGGACAGGACATCAGCTTAGTTACTTTCTCTTTATTTTCACTTTACTTTAATACATTTTTTGTCTATTTTTGTCTAATTTTTTTTTATCCAATCAATCCAGGAGGGGGGGCAAGTGCCCCCCTTTGCCACCCCCTGCGGGCGCCCATGCACCCACCCACCCCCACGCTTTGACTATCAGTTCGTTGTTGGAAGCTATAGTGAAAGCGTTAAAATCAATTTGAAAATTCTTGTTTTTTTCTGCACTCAGGAACGGATTCATCCAATATATAGTATTTTTAAGGGAACACATTGCCTTGGGACTCTATCTGGTTGCTGGAATGGATAGTTCAGTTTCCGAGGCCCCACAGTATTCACAACTTATAATCATAATAATAAATAAGCTCAACTTCCATTTAAGCATGTCAGTAACGTTTAAGATTATTCTCAAATCAGCATTTTGGTATATTCTATGTAAAGTTTGCTTGTACTTATACAACATAGCTATAAATTCGCACATTTTGGTATATTCTATGTAAAGTTTGCTTGTACTTATACAACATAGCTACAAATGCGCACATGTTTTATTAAACTTTAATTTAAGACAATAATTGTATTTTTTTTAATAGGTAGTTTGATGAGTCTGAAATCTATCAGGCATCTTCCTTTGAATACTTATCCCAAATTGTTAGCGTATGTCTTTTCAAGAATTGCCAGCTTTTTCTCGTGTGTGCCGTGTCATCAATCTCTATTAAAATTAAATAAATAAATTAACAGCTCAATTTTTTTTTTATTCCTGTTTTTTTTATTTCTGTCTTGAGAGTAATTGAACAATGTTTATTGATGTCTTGAGAGAGAATGAACACTTTTTTTTATTGATGTCTTGGGAGTGAATGAACAATTACAGCGTCTCGTTACCCCTCGATTTAAAAGGGAGAAAATTAAATATTTCGAATTTTTACAGTCTTTATTTAAATTCAAAATGAAAATGGTTGCTTGAGTCTATTCATGCGGTGAATTACTGTTTAAAGGATAAACTCAAAGCGATTAAATTAACTACTATTATTACTAAAATCCTTGAAATCTGCCCCTTAAAAATCTGCCCCACATATTTCTTTTATTAATTAATTTCCTTTAGATGAGAATCCAGTAGAAAGCCATCATGAATAAACAAAAAAGTTTGTAAAAATAAATAAAAATATTTTTTTTTAAATTTTAAATCCGATAAAATACATTTTTTATGTTACCCGGTAGATCTAATTACCATTGAAATGCCTTGTTCACAAAACTCGACATCTTTTTGGGCTGTCTTCTCATTTTACATCTTTGAGCGTAACATAAAACAATAGGCCAGGATGACGTATACAAGACAAGGCGCATGGACATGCTAGCAGACCAGCCGCTAGTAACTATAGACTATAACATGTTGTGTGTGTTCCTCTACTATTGTACTACACTGGCCTGAAGCAGTCTTGACAGAAAAAGAAAATTCTGTGTTACAAGGAACGCGCTTTCTCCATAATTATTTATGTCTAATGAGCCCTAATGGCTGGGGTAGTGAGCCCTAATGGCTGGGGTAGTGAGCCCTAATGGCTGGGGTAGTGAGCCCTAATGACTGGGGTAGTGAGCCCTAATGGCTGGGGTAGTGAGCCCTAATGGCTGGGGTAGTGAGCCCTAATGGCTGGGGTAGTGAGCCCTAATGGCTGGGGCTGAACAAGGTGCCTCTTTTTTTCTTCAGGGTACAGGGTCTGTGTATGTTGAGGTCCTATTCGGCGGATCTGAGTGCGCTAGCTTCATTGAGGTATTATTATAGAAAGCGAGAAATGTGTTCTGGGTAGTGAGTCCTGATGGCTGGGGTAGTGAGCCCTAATGGCTGGGGCTGAACAAGGTGCCTCTTTTTTTCTTCAGGGTACAGGGTCTGTGTATTTTGAGGCCCTATTCGGCGGATCTGAGTGCGCTAGCTTCATTGAGGTATTATTATAGAAAGCGAGAAATGTGTTCCAATTAATTAACTGGTCCAATTGAAAACTGAATGTATCGATTACAAGTAGCGCTCACAAGTAAATATAAATTGAAAGCATATTATAGGCTAACCCTGTTCAATAAATATATGAAAATCAGGGATGTCATATACATGAGATTACTCTGATATTGAATTACATGACAGAACTTGACATTTTGTTTCACTAAACTTGCTAGTTGTTTTTCAATAATGGTTTATTTCAGTGGTTCTTAACCTTTTTGGAGGTACCGAACCCCACCAGTTTCATATGCGCATTCACCGTACCCTTCTTAATTGGAACAATAAAATATGATTTTTTTTTTCTGCTTTTTTTTTTACCTCCGCCAAACCCCTGAGACTGACTCACCGTACCCCTGGGGTTCGATCGAACTCAGGTTAAGAACCACTGGTTTATTTAATTCACCAAAAAAGATAAAATAAAAATGTATGAAATTAAGTTTTGAAAAAATGAAAAAAGTCTTATGCACACTGCATATATTTTCTTTTTAGTGAAAAAATAAATAAAGTCTTATGCACACTGCATATATATATTCTTCTTAGTGAAAAAATGAATAAAGTCTTATACACACTGCATATGTTTTCTTTTTAGTGAGAAAAATGAATAAAGTCTTATGCACATTGCATATATATATTCTTCTTAGTGAAAAAATAAATAAAGTCTTATGCACACTGCATATATATATTCTTCTTAGTGAAAAAATGAATAAAGTCTTATACACACTGCATATGTTTTCTTTTTAGTGAGAAAAATGAATAAAGTCTTATGCACATTGCATATATCTTCTTTAATTTTTAGTGAAAAAATGAATAAAGTCTTATGCACTCTGCATATATTTTCTTTTAAAAAAAAGGGTTTAAAAAAAAAACCATTCAAGATGCCCTGCATTCTATATCAGCTGTCAGGAGGTGAATGCAAGCATCGCAAGTACTGTCTGATAACCGACTGTACAGGGGTACGTTCATGATAACCAACTGTACAGGAGTACGTTCATGATAACCAACTGTACAGGAGTACGTTCATGATAACCAACTGTACAGGAGTACGTTCATGATAACCAACTGTACAGGAGTACATTCATGATAACCAACTGTACAGGGGTACGTTCATGATAACCAACTGTACAGGAGTACGTTCGTGATAACCAACTGTACAGGAGTACGTTCATGATAACCAACTGTACAGGAGTACATTCATGATAACCAACTGTACAGGGGTACGTTCATGATAACCAACTGTACAGGAGTACGTTCGTGATAACCAACTGTACAGGGGTACGTTCATGATAACCAACTGTACAGGAGTACGTTCGTGATAACCAACTGTACAGGGGTACGTTCATGATAACCAACTGTACAGGAGTACGTTCATGATAACCAACTGTACAGGAGTACGTTCATGATAACCAACTGTATAGGGGTACGTTCATTAAAACCAACTGTACAGGAGTATGTTCGTGATAACCAACTGTACAGGGGTACGTTCATGATAACCAACTGTACAGGAGTACGTTCATGATAACCAACTGTACAGGGGTACGTTCATTAAAACCAACTGTACAGGAGTACGTTCATGATAACCAACTGCAAAGAGGTACGTTCATGGTAACCAACTGTACAGGAGTACGTTCATGATAACCAACTGTACAGGAGTACGTTCATGATAACCAACTGTACAGGAGTACGTTCATGATAACCAACTGTACAGGAGTACGTTCATGATAACCAACTGTACAGGAGTACATTTGTGATACCCGAGTATGTTTGTGATAACCAACTGTACAGGGGTAAGTTCATGGTAACCAACTGTACAGGAGTACGTTCATGATAACCAACTGTACAGGGGTACGTTCATGGTAACCAACTGTACGTGAGTACGTTCATGATAACCAACTGTACAGGAGTACGTTTGTGATAACCAACTGTACAGGGGTACGTTAATTAAAACCAACTGTACAGGAGTACGTTCATGATAACCAACTGTACAGGAGTACGTTTGTGATAACCAACTGTACAGGGGTACGTTCATTGTCAAGATTAAAGCCTATAAAGAATCAGCTTCTGAGTAAAATGGGACAAAATTGTTTGAACTAATCCCACTTCTCAGTACAATTGGACAAAATTGTTTGAACTATTCCCACTTCTCAGTACAATGGGACAAAACTATTTGAACAAATCCCACTTCTTAATACAATGGGACAAAATTTTTTGAACTAATCCCACTTCTCAGTACAATGGGACAAAACTGTTTGAACTAATCCAACTTCTCAGTACAATAGAACAAAACTGTTTGAACTAATCCCACTTTTTAGTACAATGGGACAAAACTGTTTGAACTAATCCTATGCAGCCCTAGACAGCTATTTAAAAAGGAATGCTACTTTGGTCAAATAAGTCACGAATAAAAGCAAGACCCAGCAGAATATTCAATAGCAGATATTTATTACAAAATAGTGCAAATATCTTGAGTTCTTGAAGCGTTCGCAGTGCACCAAACGTCACACTGTAAGACAAAGAGTTAAAAGGAGAGTTATAACCTGAGTCTATTCAATACCTGAATAAAGTCATACCTGAATCTAGTGCAATCACTCTAGATTTTATTGTGGTACCTTAAGGGAGAAGATTATTCAGTCAAAATTTTTATCAAAGTATCTTTTTAAATTTGCAAGGATGGATATGTGTGTTCACCTTATACAACTACATCTCATGTTCTAAACAATAGGCCCGATACATTACTTTAAAAATAACATTCTAAAGAAACTTACATTCCGCTTTTCTCTTTTGAGATTGTTGCTTCAAAGCCTGAAATATTTTCATAAAAAGTTGTTGATAATTATGCTCTTAACAACCCTGACATACCGTATCAATATTTATAATCGGTTTTGTGCCACAGGGCCCCAAATCAATTTCCAGTGTTTTTACCCAAATGTCCCATGCGCATATAATAGTAATTATAAAAGACAGGAGCAGTTCTGATACCTGAAGTTTTGGGAGAAAAGACAGGAGAAGTTCAGATCACTGAAGTTTTGGGGAAAAGACAGGGGCAGTTCAGATCACTGAAGTTTTGGGGGAAAGACAGAGGCAGTTCAGATAACTGAAGTTTTGGGGAAAAGACTAAAGCAGTTCAGATAACTGAAGTTTTGGGGGAAAGAAAGGGGCAGTTCAGATCACTGAAGTTTTGGGGAAAAGACTAAAGCAGTTCAGATAACTTAATTTTTTTTAGGAAAGAAAGGGGCAGTTCAGATCACTGAAGTTTTGGGGAAAAGACTAAAGCAGTTCAGATAACTTAAGTTTTGGGGGAAAAGACAGTAGCAGTTCAGATAACTGAAGGTTTTGGGGAAAAGACAGGAGCAGTTCAGATCACTGAAGTTTTGGGGAAAAGACAGGAGCAGTTCAGATCACTGAAGTTTTGGGGAAAAGACAGGAGCAGTTCAGATCACTGAAGTTTTGGGGTCCATAAAATGGGAACTTGCTAAAAGCAAGGTCATGTTAATGCTGGTATTTCTGCGGAAAAAACAGATAACGTCCTTAAAACAAATATTTGTATCTCCTGTGGTTGGTGAGCTATGTGGTGTTGAAGAGGCAGTGAACCTAATGCCGAGGTGTATTAAACGGCTTGACTGGATTTGAAATATTTTGTTTTGACTTTCCATCACTTATCTATAATGATATGTGACTGCACAATATTGTCTTTTGACTTTCCATCAATTATCTATAATGATATGTGACTGCACAATATTGTCTTTTGACTTTCCATCACTTATCTATAATGATATGTGACTGCACAATATTGTCTTTTGACTTTCCATCACTTATCTATAATGATATGTGACTGCACAATATTGTCTTTAGACTTACCATCACTTATCTATAATGATATGTGACTGCACAATATTGTCTTTTGACTTTCCATCACTTATCTATAATGATATGTGAATCCACAATATTGTCTTTTGACTTTCCATCACTTATCTATAATGATATGTGAATCCACAAAATTGTCTTTTGACTTTCCATCACTTATCTATAATGATATGTGACTGCACAATGTTGTCTTTTGACTTTCCATCACTTATCTATAATGATATGTGACGCCACAATATTGTCTTTTGACTTTCCATCACTTATCTATAATGATATGTGAATCCACAAAATTGTCTTTTGACTTTCCATCACTTATCTATAATGATATGTGACTGCACAATGTTGTCTTTTGACTTTCCATCACTTATCTATAATGATATGTGACGCCACAATATTGTCTTTTGACTTTTCATCACTTATCTATAATGATATGTGACTCCACAATATTTTCTTTATAGTTATAGATATAAAAATCATAACTTATAAAAAATGTCTCCTCACACAAAAAAAGGTTGCCCATTTCGATCTGAACAAAAATGAAATTACACCATATAAAAATATTCAGCCCTCTCCACAACTTGTTTTTAAATAGAACTGTAGGCCTACCTTTTTCACCAGCATCCAGTCATCCATGACATCTGTGTCTTTAACCATGTAGACAATATATGGACTTAAGAAGATTAAGGAATTTTCATTCAAACTTGAAATAAAGGTTACGTTAACCCTGTCCCTCACCGAACTTGAATTTAAGGTACAAGATAAAAATTCAACATGACGTTTTTCACGTTTTACAAAAAAATTTCAAATAAATGTTATGGATTGCATGGTGGGCAAGAAGTCTAGAAGCCATGTTAAAATATGGCTTTTAAACTTTACATTACTTCAATGTTAGGATGTGGCTTTTAAACTTCACGTCAATGTTAGGATATGGCTTTTAAACTTTTGGTTATTTAGGAGGTGGCTTTTAAACTTTAGGTTACTTCAATGTTGGGATATGTCTTTTAAACTTTATTTTACTTTATTGTTAGGATGTGGCTTTTAAACTTCATGTCAAAAAAATAGTTGGCACATAACATAAATCATATAGACATAAATAAATAAATAGACATGAATTTTGGATCCCCTTGTGTCAAAAAATAGTTGGCACATAATATATTGACATTAATAAATAAAGAAACATGAATCTTGGAGATAGGACACTATTTTTCTTGCGCAATATTTCAAAAGTGTTTGATACATCTATTAGAGTTGCGGAAGTTTTGTAACGGTTGTATCCACATGGCTTGGTCCCAAAGTAGGGGAAAGGTAATATGGGTGAAGCTGAGCGAAAGGAGAGCTTACAAATCTAAGCAAAAAATACTAATTTTGGGTAGGGGAGGTGTGGATTTTGGGTGAGTTTCCCCAACTTTTTTCCCAGTGGTTGACCCCCGCTTTTTTTTTTATTATTCCAAAATAATAATTCGTTACTAATCACGTGATGCAGGCCAGCACAACGCAACATGTAAGGGGGAAAACACAATTTATGAAAAACTTGTGCGGCCAGAAAGATTTTAGGACAGGGGCATAGCTATTTTGAAAATAATAATAATAAGGAATATTTCGTTACTTTGCGGGCCACCAAGTGGGTTAGGTTAACCTAAGCCCGCAAGCTGTATGTTGTGCAGGCCTGACGTAAAGGATAGCAGATACAATTTGCTTAAAGCACGGATATGAAAAACAGTTCACGTAAAGAAAGTAATTGAATATTAGAAACAGTTCATGTAAAGGAATGATATCAGAAACAGTTCACATAAAGGAAGGGTATCAGAAACAGTTCACGTAAAGGAAGTATATTAACAAAAACTTCGCGTAAAGGAAGGATATCAGAAACAGTTCACGTAAAGGAAGGATATCACAAACAGTTCACTTAAAGGAAGGGTATTAGAAACAGTTTACGTAAAGGAAGGGTATTAGAAACAGTTCACGTAAAGGAAGGGTATTAGAAACAGTTCACGTTAAGGAAGGGTATCAGAAACAGTTCACGTAAAGGAAGGGTATCAGAAACAGTTCACGTAAAGGAAGGGTATCAGAAACAGTTCACATAAAGAAAGGATATTAGAAACAGTTCACGTAAAGGAAGGGTATCAGAAACAGTTCACGTTAAGGAAGGGTATCAGAAACAGTTCACATAAAGAAAGGATATTAGAAACAGTTCACATAAAGAAAGGATATTAGAAACAGTTCACATAAAGAAAGGATATTAGAAACAGTTCACGTAAAGAAAGGATATTAGAAACAGTTCACGTAAAGGAAGGATATCAGAAACAGTTCACGTAAAGGAAGGATATTAGAAACAGTTCACGTAAAGGAAGGATATCAGAAACAGTTCACGTAAAGGAAGGATATTAGAAACAGTTCACGTAAAGGAAGGATATCAGAAACAGTTCACATAAAGAAAGGATATCAGAAACAGTTCACATAAAGAAAGGATATTAGAAACAGTTCACGTAAAGGAAGGATATCAGAAACAGTTCACATAAAGAAAGGATATCAGAAACAGTTCACATAAAGAAAGGATATTAGAAACAGTTCACGTAAAGGAAGGATATCAGAAACAGTTCACATAAAGAAAGGATATCAGAAACAGTTCACGTAAAGAAAGGATATTAGAAACAGTTCACGTAAAGAAAGGATATCAGAAACAGTTCACGTAAAGAAAGGATATTAGAAACAGTTCACGTAAAGGAAGGATATCAGAAACAGTTTGAGGTTTTCTTCTCCGTTCTGGATGTAAGGGATCCGTTTTCTTTTTTTTTTTCAGTATTTGAGTTTCTTGCCAAAGATCTGAAAATGCAAAAATTTATAAAGCTTTCAAACATTAGCTATAATGTTATCAGACAAAAATGAGCACACAAATTACAATATACTTTTTTCCATTTGGAATTATATGGACAAAAAAAAATCGGCCAAAAAATTTTAAGGAAAAAAAAAAGATGCTGCAGACATCTCTCAGACAAAAGATGTGCGCCAAATAATGTTCAGACAAAAGATGTGCACCAAATAATGTTCAGACAAAAGATGTGCACCAAATAATGTTCAGACAAAAGATGTGCACCAAATAATGTTCAGACAAAAGATGTGCACCAAATAATGTTCAGACAAAAGATGTGCACCAAATAATGATCAGACAAAAGATGTGCACCAAATAATGATCAGACAAAAATGAAGTCAAGTGAAGTAATTTCTTCTCGCTTGTTGTTTTTGAAAATGGATCTTTCTTACAAAAGACTGAAAGTGAAATCTATAACAAAAAAATGTGTTATTTTGCAGAGCAATAATTAGAATGTGGCACAGGGCGCTTTGGAGAAAATCAGTGATGAAATTAAAAAATGTGGGAATCTCTGAGTTAATTTCTAAATAACACTCCAACAAACAATACAAATAAGTTATTTACCAGAATTAATATCAATATTATGTCTGTCTTCTTCCAACCGCCGAATTTTATCCTCTAATTCATGTTTAATGGTATCATATAAAAGAACTTTTTCACTCTGAAATTATGAAAATAAACTTTTCAATTCAATTATACATTGAGGTTAATGAATTTAATTTTCAATAGATAGAGATTTACATTAAAAAATCTAATGCGGCAAAAATGATATATCATACTGTAAAGAGGACTTATAATACAGTAAAGATGATATATAAACTGTTTTAATTTCTCCAACTACTACTACTTTGTGCAGTTTCAGAATTAAATACATTTGTAAAACCATTTTATTATTTATACATATTAATATACTGTACCTATTCAGATAGGAACACATAAGGTCAATTTTCAGATTCTTTTCAAATAAAAAACAAAAATTCTCACAACTAGACCATATAAAAAAAAATTTCCTTTAAGTGTGGTCTCCAAATGTGAATAAAAAATCTTGAAATCTAAAAATCTTTTATGCAAATATGACGCAGCTAATGGTCAACTCCCACATCAAACAGCCTTGCATGATCACAATGTTTTGCATTGCGTGATCACAATGTTCAACAGCATTATAGACACAATGGCGCACCATGGCTTGTCAGTGCCCAGAGCAAGGCAATTATTCTGCCCCCTAATCTTTTAAAACGTGCATATAATCTGTTGAGTCCCAAATAGCACAAGGAACAAGCTAAGAACCTCAAGAATGATTTTTGTTTAAGTTGGTCTGTGATATTAATATGACATCAGAAGCCTTGTTATAAACACAACTACACACATTGGTAGAATACTGATTGGTAAAGATTTAAATATATTATTAACCCATGTAATAATATATTTAAAATGATCAGATTTTGTCCACTTTTTAGAATAGAGCTTAAAGAGCCAAATACATTACAATAATATAAGACCGGTATGGAAAAACAGTTTAATTGGACACAAGAAACTGTTATCAAAGTAAGTAGAATGAGACTGATGCCTCTGGCAGTTTTTCAACTATTGAGTTTAGTTTCATGCTCAATAAGTCCATCACACAGTTGAAAACTACAAGTTCCAAATAATTGTTAATACTAACTGATTTTTCTAGTCGACCAAAACCTTACAGTGACAACTTACATCTCCTAGCCTATCAGAAAAATTTGGGTAAGTGCCTCACCAAAACCCCACAGAGACTACTTACATCTCCTAGCCTATCAGAAAGATTTGGATTAGGGTCTCAAGAAAACCTCACAGTGACAACTTACATCCCCTAGCCTATCAGAAAGATTTGAGTTAGGGTCTCACCAAAACCTCACAGTGATAAACTTACATCTCCTAGCCGATCAGAAAGATTTGGGTAAGGGCCTCACCAAAACCTCAAAGGGACAACATAAATCTTCAAACAAATCAGAAAGATCATGCATCAAAGAAAAGAGCCACCAATTTTTTCCCCGTTTATATGCAAATTTAATAACACATGTATACAGTGACATATCTTGACTAGATGAAGTAGATCCCCTAACAAACATACACATGACATAAATATAAATGCCAATAGTACTACCCAGGACAGTCACAAGACCCCACTCGCACCCCATAGGTCTGCAACTCTATGCACAGATGATTAAAAGGACACCAATACTCTGACAGTCTTCCAAATACCAAAGGAAATAGTGGTAATTAGTGACTTTAGTTCATGACCTATTTATTGTCTTTGGTCTACCCGGTAGCTCACTGGCCCCTAAACTTTTAAATTCTAAGCGCATGCACTTGCTGAATCAAGGTTTTCTCCAGGCATCAAATTACTTGAATTACACTTACTTCAATTACAATTACTTGAATTAAAATTATTTCAATTTAAATTATTTGAATTACAAATTACACTTATTTCAATTACAAAAAATACAGTTCATTTTGTTTTTAATTTAATGGTTAGGTAACAATAAATGAAATTAAGGTCGGGGAGTAAAGATTAGAGACAGTAGGCAGCTTCAAATACCTAGGAGCAATAGTCTCGGAAGCAAGCTCCAAGCCCGAATTGATGTCCAGGATTGCCCAGACCACAACAGCACTAAAGAGGCTCAATAAAATATGGAATGACAAAACTATAGCCCCCAGCATCAAAATCAGGCTGATGCGCTCATTAGTCCTCTCCATTTTCTTGTATGCCTGCGAGTCCTGGACATTAACAGCAGAACTTGAAAGAAAAATAAAGGCGATGGAGATGAGATGTTTCAGAAGCATTCTTGGAATCTGCTATAGAGACCATATCTCTAACAAACAAGTGAAAGAAAGGATTTATCAAGCAATTGGGCAATATGGTGACCTCCTGGTGACTGTAAAAAGCGCAAACTGGAATGCAAATGTGACAAGAAAACAAGGGCTCGCCAAAGAAATCATGTAGGGCACAACAACAGGTGGGAGAAGAAGAGGAAGACAGATGAAAAGATGGGAAGATAACATTAAAGAGTGGACGGGACTAAAACTATGCGATGCTGTGGGAACTGCAGAAAAAAGAGAAGAATGGAGAAGTATAGTTTTCATGTCATCTGTGGCGCCCCAACGGTCCAAGGACTAAGGGACATAATGATGATGAACAATAAATGAAATTTTCATCTTGGTCATTAAGTGCATCTATGTCACTACATGCCACATGGGTAGCTAAGTGTCATATAGGTCACTAAGTGCATCTGTCACTATGTGCCACCTAGTTCACTATGTGCCACCTAGTTCACTAAGTGTCATCTAGGTCACTAACCGCATCTTTGTCACTACGTTCCACCTAGGTCACTTAGTGTTATATAGGTCGGTGGTCCCCAAACCCAGAGCCACAGACTGGTCTGTGGATCAAATGGTACCGGGCCGCCCAAGAAAATTTTTAATTATTTCTAATTTTAAGCTTACGAGATTTTCTGGACGATAATTACGGACGTACAGACCCAAAGGCTCACAGCAACTGGAACCATACAGGCGGGGGNGACATCAAACAATTTTATGGGTAATTGTGACATCACAGGATAATTTTTTTTAAAAAATGAGATGCAACAATTTGGCCAGCCCAGTGGTCCCCATATTATGTGTCGCTCTGGGTGCCATGTTGCCCTCAGGCAGAGCCATGAGAATGGGGCAAAGAGGGCAGTCAACAACCAAAACCACCCCCCCCCCCCAACCCCTCAGTGGGCCGCAGTAAAATTATCAAACGTTGACCGGTCCGCGGTGATAAAAAGTTTGGGGACCACTGATCTAGGTCACTATCTGCATCTATGTCACTATTTGCCATCTAGGCCATTAAGAGCATCTATGTCACTACATGCCACCTAGGTCACTAAGTGCTATCTAGGTGACTACGTGCCACCTAAGTCACAAAGTGTCATCTAGGTCACTAAGTGCCATCTAGGTAACTAAGTGACATCTAGAAGCATTTTTAGGAGCATCGTCAACCAGCCATTACTCAAATGAGTAGCTGCTTTGCACCAGGCCTGCTACCAGAACCCGACACTTAAACTCTCCGCCAAAAAACCCTTTACCAGCATGATGAGATGTTGAATGAGAGCAGCTGGTAAAACAAGAAAGGACCGCATTTGGAACCAGGAAATAAGACAAATGATTTACAGGGTCAGTGCCGTATCAATCAGACAGTATATGGCCCACTAGGTTAGGGTTAGGGTCAGTTCCGTACCAATCAGACAGTATATGGCCCACCACAAATTAATTGGTTTGGTCACCTGGTCTGTTTTCTGCCACAATTTTTTCTCGGATGCCTGTGCTTCTTATCTAACCGAAATTCTTTCTGTCTATGCACCCCTTCCACAGATTCGTCCATGGCTTGACATGTAAATAGTTCTGGGGTGGCTGGGGTGAATATATATTTCTTTTTTTTTTTAACAGATGTTTTTTAATTAAATAAATGAATGTAATTTTTTAATTTCATGATTATGTTTGCTAATATTTTTATGTGCAGCATCGTGAACCCAGCCCTAAGCTAGGGTACTGAACCAACATGCAATGTATTCCTACAATAGCAAGCAATCCAGTTTCAGGGCCAGGGGGAGACAAAGCCTGCAGTCAGTCAATAAAGTCGACAACATGAATCTTAAGCAGGCCTCACACCTCCCCATAATGTCTCTTCGGTAGAAGTAGACAGAAGGAGAAAAAGAATTTTCACACATAAAAAATGACATAAAGAAGTACTTGCTCGAAGTATCTTTATTGTTTATTTTATCAATATTTTCTTTATCTCCTTTGCGAAAAAATGCGTTGCAGATTTGTCTTTACAAAGGCAAATATTCTGAATAGGGTTAGGTTGTAGAATTTTATTTACATAAGCAAATATTCTGATTAGGGTTAGGTTGTAGCATTGTCTTTACATCTATATATATAATTCGCCAGAAAGTAGGGCAAATAAGAAGACCAAAATCACGCAGGCTATATATAGATACGCCAGAGCAAGCAAGACGCAGGCAAAGCCTCCCCTCAGTTCCCTTGCCTGCCCATCGTTGGTCTCGAGACATATGCACTGCGGTGGAGCTCCCCCTCCCCCCCACTTCCTGCACCACCCTTGCTTGCCAGCCATCTCGCGACATCTGCTAAGCCGGGGGTTGCGTATCATGAAAAAAAAAGGGGGGAGGGGGGAGAAAAGGGGTGTAGCAAAATTGGCATTCTTAAATGTGCATAACTTGAGTTCACGTTTTTGTCAAGTAACTTTAGTAGATGGGAAGTTCACACATTGCTGTTGCCAATGTTTGGCGGGCTATATCTAGTAAGCAAATATTCTCATTAAGGTTAAGTTGTAGAATTTTATTTACATAAGCCAATATTCTGATTAGTGTTAGTTTGTAGAATTTTATTTACATAAGCCAATATTGTGATTAGTGTTAGGTTGTAGAAATTTAATTACATAAGCCAATATTTTGCTGTAAAAATCAACTAACAAGTTGCCCAAGCACAGATCTTATTATACTGGTATTAAAAATAGGTCACAAGCGGTTAGCAAACATTAACTGTCATAAAGATGGATTTCAACTGCTATTAAGATCTAATAAAATTTTAAAATTCAATGTCTGCACAACATATATTGATACTTATAAAGTACAGTTAATCAAGGCACTTGCAAAGTTACGCCAGTACATGTGACCCAATTTTTCACACGGCTTTATGTTGACTTAAGTTAATTACTTTTCTTGATAATGATGGTTTTCTATAAAGTACTAAAAGAAAATTTATACAAATCTCCTATGACCCGCACATGAGCTGACCACCCTAAAATATTTCCAAAAATAAAATGAGTCATCAAAGAAATATCATACAAGTGATTGTAATGATGAAATTTTCTCCAAGAAAAAAATATTTGCTTACTTCCATGTGCTGAAAAGCTGCTAATTCCTCACTTTCAAATTTCTGTTTGATACTTGCCAGTGCCATCTCTCGTCTAATGTCTATAAAAATGACACAATTGAAAAGTTTTTAAACCCTAACAAAATGAGAGTGTTAAAAAAAAATTCTATAAATTAGAATAAAAACCCATCCCAAATCATCGCAAGAGAGATTATGAAGCAGACTAGACAAAGCCAAAAGAGAGCTGGATTGCTGAATACCTTACCTAAGTTGACAACTGGAATGTACATGTTTACATGAGATGGGAAGAGTTTGCCAGATGGCAGCAGAAATGAGGAAGTAAAGAGAGCTGGATTGCTGACTACCTCACCTAAGTTGGCAACTGGAATGTACATGTTTACATGAGATGGGAAGAGTTTGCCAGATGGCAGCAGAGATGAGGAATTAAAGAGAGCTGGATTGCTGAATACCTCACCTAAGTTGGCAACTGGAATGTACATGTTTACATGAGATGGGAAGAGTTTGCCAGATGGCAGAAGAGATGAAGTACAGCATTTTGGGGCTCATTTAAAAAAGATGGATAAGAAAACTGATGAAAAATATAACTAGACATGCACTGGTATGGAACACACAAGGATCAAGAGGAAGGGCAAGACCCAAAATACTTGGTGGTGTACTAAGAAGAACAAGGTAATACAAAAATAAAATAAAACATGCATTTGCTAAATAAAAAATTATACTGACATGCAACTTTTTTTTTCATTGCCATCTGCTTTTCTAATTGAGCCAAGGGATGAAGGTATTCAGTAGCCTTGTTATTCTGAATTTCTACAATTTTAGCATCTATCTGTTGAAGTCGTTCTGTGTACAATCTGAAATAATAAAAAACATAAAGTGATGTTCTGCATAAGAATAATTTAGTGGCTTTAGTGCAAAGTGAATGGCTACAAATGTGATAAAACCTTTAAAAACTTAACACTGCCCTGTTTAAAAAATATTTCCTACATTTTTTTTGTAAGTACCGGTACATTTGAGTCTTAATATGTGCATGGTAAAGAGATTGGGGTATAGCAAAGCTAAAAGTAGGGGAGGGCTTTGCACCCCTCCTTTTCTCTCCATTTCCCCAATGTTGTTTTAAATTTTCTGGCATCCTGTGTACTATAAAAAGAAATATATCTCAACAATGAAAAAAAGCTCCTATTGTTAAGGCCAGAGGTTCCAGTTTTGCCACAGAGTGAGAGAGATGGTCTCAGTTTACTAAAACTGTCAATCTTCTATTTTTATGGTTATTTTAAATTTGTTCAAGAGAAGAGTTTGACAAACTTTAGAACTTTAGTTTGCATAAATATATTTGTTTAATTTCTTTTTTTTATTACAAGTTAAACTTTTCTCTCTTACTGTTCTTTGAGTTCACAAAACTGTTTCTCCAACTCTGACATATCGGCAAGATATTCATGCCGCCGCCTTTCACACTCAGCTTCATCAATATCTGGAAATAAGAGCAAAAAAACCCTAAACTCAGTGTTCTAAATCTTAAACTTAATAAAGGGTGCATTAGAATAATTCCATGCCCCCAAGGGCTGCATAAGAATAATTTCACGCCCCAACAGTTGCATAAGAATAATTCCATGTCCAAAGGGCTGCAATATACTTATCATGCATTTCAAATCCCCTGCAACACAAATGAAAAGCTGAAATATCTATATTTAGTTGTGTTTTAAATCAGTTATAGTTTTTTTCTCCACAAATCAATCTTTGCCATTTTATTGGATGTCTGGATTGGATACAAATTTGCAGGGACTTTGTTAATCTTATACTGTAAAACAGAAATGAAGGCATTGATACGGAGTTTGTATTTTTTAAGCTTGGAGATTGATATCTGAGTGTCCATTGCTTTGAGACAATATTATTTCATTAGTTACAATAATGAGATGTAAAAAGTCTTCTACATCATAAAAACCTGATTAGAGTAAATTAATGCGCATGCTGAAAATTTTGTAAAACATCAAATGTTAAAATAGTCTGTGCTTCAGCAATACGAAGAAAATCACCTAATCCATACAGTGTGGAACTAAACACACTGGTAAACTGACAAAGACCATTATGAATGGACCAATAGGCTTTTAGCTTCCTTAGAATAGACAAGATTATTTTTTAAAGAGTCTTAACTTAACCAAGAAATTATATATATTACGGACGATTGTCCCTCTATAAGAAAGTGCAACTGGGGTTATTACTTTCCTTGTCCCCAAGATTTATTGTGCTTTATTGAGAAGTACAAAAAACAACAAAGATGGCTTTGCTCAGGGCAAAAACAGCAGCTTTACAAGCATTTGAGACCTTGCGAGTGAAAGAAATAAAGACATTTTTAAGGGAATTTAATCAATCGGTTTTAGGGGCAAAAGCAGAACTTATAGATCGAGCATGCTGGTGTGTAGCTTTGAGAATTGGTAAAAAAAAAAGAGACCACAAAGATAACTATTGCATTGTCCCAACTTTAAATTTCATAAACCATGTGTACAACTACTTTGTTTTGTCAATTTTATAGATGTGTACAACTAATAGTATGGTGGGCTTATGACAACTGATGGTGCTCTTTAAATGGTGGGGTCTATGACAACTGTTGGTCACAGAATTTCATTGTCTGAGCTAAATGTTGCCTATAAAATATATTATGTACCACACAGAAGTTTGCTGTCTGAGCTAAATATTGCCTATTAAGATATTCTTTACCACATAGAAGTCTGATGTCTGAGTTGAGGGAGAGTTTTGAATCACTATTATACATTACTTCCACAGTTTACTGATTTTAAGTTTTCTAATGGGGCCTTCCCTTTCCATGAGATGTAACAGAGCTACTTGTTTCAAGAAAAGGGGAAGTTAACCTATGATTTAAGTTGCTCATGGTGCCTTCCCTTTCCATGAGATGTAACAGAGCTACTTGTTTCAAGAAAAGGGGAAGTTAACCTGTGATTTAAGTTGCTCATGGTGCCTTCCCTTTCCATGAGATGTAACAGAGCTAATCGTTTCAAGAAAAGGGGAAGTTAACCTGTGATAAGCATTCACATGTAAAAGTATTTCAAACAAAATTAGATCTCCCGAGTAAACAAGTGAAAATGTAATAAGGGGGAGAGACTGCTATCAGGTAATAAGGGGGAGAGACTGCTATCGGGTAATAAGGGGGAGAGACTGCAATCAGGTAATAAGAGGGAGAGACTGCAATCAGGTAATAAGGGGGAGAGACTGCAATCAGGTAATAAGAGGGAGAGACTGCAATCAGGTAATAAGGGGGAGAGACTGCGATCAGGTAATAAGGGGGAGAGACTGCAATCAGGTAATAAGAGGGAGAGACTGCTATCAGGTAATAAGAGGGAGAGACTGCTATCAGGTAATAAGGGGGAGAGACTGCTATCAGGTAATAAGGGGGAGAGACTGCTATCAGGTAATAAGGGGGAGAGACTGCTATCAGGTAATAAGGGGGAGAGACTGCTATCAGGTAATAAGAGGGGAGACTGCAAGCAGGTAATAAGAGTTAGAGACTGCTATCAGATTAGAAAAATGGAAATGAGCAAAATGAAGTATGTGAAAGCCTGAAAAGAAGAACACAACAAAACAACAAATGTATCTGCAAAAAGCCTCCATCAGATTTACCAGATTGAGATTCATCCTCCTGATCTTCCTCTATTTCTTCTGTTGAACAGGAGTGCGATTCTTCATCCGAAGATTTATCACTTTCAGCTCCCTCTTGGTCCATGTCCTCATCACCCTCTAACTTTAAGCTGGTAGTTCCAGCTCTCATATTAAATATGATATTTTGAATCACATATATTTTAATTTAATGGACTACCTCATTAGACAAACTGTGAATGAAAGAGAATGAATTAAATATTTTAAGTCTTTTCTAATTTTTCACACACAGTTAAAGATTTAAACCATAATTGAACATTAAAACTGATAAACAGTTGTTGATATTAATGATATTTACTACAAGATGTATTTCAAAAAGGTTTTTTTTCATAACATTTTAAAATTATTTTTTAATAAATATTAAATGATTTCATAAAAAATAATAAACATATTGTATAATTATAATAAAGGAAGTCAATTAAATATTTTAAGTCAAGCCTTTTCTAATTTTTCACACACAGTTAAAGGTAAGGATTTAAACCATAATTGAACATTGAAACTGATAAACAGGTGTTGATATTAATTATATTTACTATAAAATGTATTTCAAAAAGGTTTTTTTTTCATAACATTTTAAAATTATTATTTAATAAATATTAAATGACTTCATAAAAAATAATAAACATATTGTATAATTCTAATATAGGAAGTCAATAATCATTAGAAGGCAGACTATGTAGTGTCAAAATGAGATTTTCTTTGACAGTACTAAAAATAGATAAACTTGTAACTACCACTTTTTTTCTGATAAAAGATCATGCCAAGTTGACTTGGATAATTATATTATTTACTAAATACAACTAAATAGTGAAATAAGTAGTCTACAACAGTGGTTCTCAAACTTTTTTTCTGAAAACCGGTCCCTGGGCAATCAACTCATCCTGAGTGTCCCCCACCCCTTATCCCATTTTAACCACTCTCAGAATCATAGTTGACACGATCCAATACTGAAGATATTGGTATTAGTCTAGCATATATTTTGCTTTTTAATTAATAAACATATGTAAGTTTTTTACTTTTAAATAATCCTCACGTGAAGTAAGGGATTGGTTGACTGAACATTTTTCGATATCTAGTGTTAAATCTTATAAAAGAAACTTAAATTACTATGTCCATATTTTTATGTTACTTCTTTGCCTGAAACAAAGTTGGATGGCTAAAATCAAACCATTTCCAACAAATAAACTTGTTAGGATGCAATTCAATAAGGAGCTACTTAAACAAGTTACTCTTTGCAACCTAAATAGTCTGGCTACCTAAATTTCCTTTGCAGACAAATTTCTTGGATACTATTTCTAAAACTTTAGCTACCACTCAATATTATTGTATCTCATTTAGCCGCTCCTAAACTTCACCAACTGACTCAAACATATCAATTAATCTGTGATTTCTATCAAATAAAATCCTTAGTTAATTTGTTCATGCTACATCAGAATGGTGGCAAATATATTTGCATCTCACTTTTCTCTCCTAGTTCCAACAAGCCTGGGAATTAGTTTAACTCGAGATGACTAACAGTGCTGGAATAAAGCTATTTTATAAAAATTTCAGCTTTACTGAATTAAGAAAATATTTCAAATAAATAAGCAATGCTATGAATGATGTACAGGTATTGTACCATCCCATTGCAATGGCAGCCAAGGCTACATAGTTTTATTATTATTAATAATATTATTTTATATTATAATTATAGACATTCAATATTCTTATATTTTATTTTTAAAGTTATAGGCATAAATTTAAAAAATTATCCCATTAACTTCTTATTAGGCCCTATACAATTGGTCGGTAAATAGAGGCTGGCAAGCCGCATGCGGCTCTTTAGTGACTTGAGTGTCACTCTGCCAGCCGGCCACTAATCGGTTTTGACTCTGAAAAACATGGTTTCCGTAAGCCCATGGTTCTTTACAGGTTCTTGAAAAGAAATTTGGCTCTCAAAAAAATGTTTAATTGTCCTGCTGCTGATTTTTGGCTCTTTTGACTAATGAGTTTGCTGATTACTGCCCTATGGGCCATCCATAAATGATGTCATGCAAATTTTGCAGATTTTTTACCCCCCTCCCACCATCGTCATAAAAAGTTAGACCCCCCCTCAAATATAACAATATAACGTCACAAATCTCTACACCCCCCCCCACTCTAAAAATTCTGTGTCCACTACTGACCTCTACAAACCCTTAAGAAATTCACTTCCCATGGACATAAAATTACTGCACCATGTCAGAAACATTTCACAAGAACAGTGGTTCTTAACCAGGGGTAAAAGTATCTCCCCATCCCTGAGATACGGAAGACCAGAAAATTGTATTTGCTGCCATTGCTAGTTGTTGCTGTTAAAAAAAAAAATTTCAAAAATTAGTTTTTATGCATCTTGATTATCAAAAGTTTTTCTGGTGAATTTTTTTTTTTGCGCACTGCTTGTATTGGTTTTTTTTTTTTGTTTTTATAAAGGTAATCAAAGAAATAAAACTAAAATAACTAAATTATTTAATTATTTTCATATTTTAAATTTTTTACAAAAAAAAGGAAAAGGGGGGGGGGGGGGGGTGGTGGTGTTTAAAACAGAGTGGGCCTGCAGCGCTGAAAAAAGGGTTAAGAATCCCTGCCCTAGAGCATTTACTAAGATTGCCCCCCACCCACCCCCTTGGGTCAAACATTTTTCCCCATTCCATCCCATTTACCGTGCTAGTACTACTTCTATGACTCCCGTGTCCACATTTAAAATTCTCACGACTGTCATTGTAACTACATCCCGATTCTCCTCCTCCGTGGCATCCTGTAACTTGATCAGAGGCCACTTTTCAGACCTCGCATACCTGTATTGATTCTCTCAGTGATTATAGTTTTAAAGTAAAAAAATTAGGAAGTGTCTACATGTCAGCGACCGGAAGAATCATTTCTCGAGATATTCGTCCCGCGACAAGGTCACATGACCACCGTAACAAATTTGGGCGAAATATCTGTCCGTTAGCCTTTTCAAGTGACCTCTAATAGTCGATCATAAAACTGGCGACGGAGATGCATGTATACACTTTATTTCAAGAAATAAGAGGGGGGGGGGGGGGGGGGTGTGGAGAGCAATGCATACTAGAAGGAAGAAATATTTGAGAGCTAGAGAGAAAGGATATAAATGATAGTGAGGATGATAAATAATTAAGGCGGGGAGGTCGAAAGTTCCCAAAGAACTAGACCCAACATCTCAATAGAGGGCCAATATGATGTTTGTTGGGGTAGCTTACTTCTTGTGCAATAAAATTTTGCCGGCGACCTCTTGTCACATGACATGTCTGCTGGAATAATAACACATACTAGTCGTCCGGCGGTCACGTGAAATGCCCGCCGGAAGAATATCTACCGCACTATTTGTCCAGTCGCCGGGCGTGTAGACACTGCCAAATAATTATAATTGTTGTATAAAAGAATAATGTTAAAAATGTCTGTAATTTAGGGTTTTTAACTGCAACTCTTTACTATAATATTCAGCTTTCCATGTGACGTCGAATTGCTTAAGCGCCATCACGTCACACATCATCACAAAAATCTGATACCCCTCCCCCCTAGACGTGTGGTCATTTATGGATGGCCCCCTATGCCTCCTATACTAATTAATCTATACCTCTACTTGTAACTATAGTCTTAGATCAAGTTAGAATTTAGATAAGTTTAGTAAGTAGGCCTGCCTGTTTCTATCATTTAATCATATTTTGTTAAAAGTTAAATCACATTTTGATCACTCATTACTATTAGTGATTAGTGTACAGTTAACTGTAATTTAAACTTTTTTCTTTAGAATATACTATATTATATACTAATACTATATAAGCTATATAGGCCTTTAACTAATAATTCATAACTTAAACTAACAACATTTTTCAATACTATAACTATTTCATTAAAATTATTATTTAGTTTTAGTGAATTTACAATTTAGACTTTAATGATTTAGTAAATTAAATTAAAATTTAGTGATCAGCTAGAATTTTTTAAAGTTAAAGTTCTGGTCTAAAAAGTTGAAAAGTGAAAGCTGTAATTTACTGTAATGAACAAATAATTATTTGAATAAATTATTTACAACAATATAAGAAACTCATATCCTGCTTTATTTTAATTTCATATAATATATATTTATTGAAAGTTACGTACGGTATATATTTTTAAGGTACGCCTAATTTAAATTGTGTATTCCTATTTTAGGGTAGGCACAATGTAGACATTGTACACGGTCTCACTCTTTACCGAAAACAACCGATACTCACCGAGGGAGCTTCGTGAGCTATCTATTAGTGTCACACTCACACCATGTATTTAAATATCACAGATGGAAATATTATTATAATTATTAATATTAGTGGTTTTATGTAGCGTGGTACCCGAGCCTAGGGCTGGGCTCACCACGCTTTACATACAATTTAACAAACATACTCATGAACTTAAAAACTTAATTAACTTACATTAATTAAATAAAACAAAACAAATTATGCATATTTACTCCACCCATTCCAGAACCATTTAGGCCTACATGTCAAGTCATGGACGGCACCCATCAGCATCGTTTATCGGTCAGAGTAGGGAATCAATCAGAATAGTAGAGTTAAAGAGATGTGTTTTGAAGGCAGTTTGAAGGCTGTGATGGTCGGTATATTGCGGATTTTTAATGGAAGTGGAAAGGAATTCCATTGTTTAGGGGCACAGAAAGAGAAAGAATATCACAGATATTTTTTTTTATTTTTACAAAGGCTAGATACTGAAACGAAATAATATTTCGTAAGAGAATCAAATAGAAATTTGAATTTAGCCGTCGGCACTGTCACAAATCAGCTCTTTCCAGCCTCCACCAGGGTATGGCCATGGCCGTGTCAAAGGAAATGAACGAAACAAAGTACCCGTTTAGGCATAGGAAAACCTGAAAAAAAAAAGGAGGCAACAAAACAACAAACGAGTCGACAAGAAGCCTTCTTCAGCGTACAAACAACAATAAAAACAATGTAATATTAAAACCCTCCATTAAAAACTTTTATACCATGTTAAGAGATCACATTTCATGGCGTGGTATAATATAAGCAGTGTTGAACATTAGATTAGAACATGGTTCAGGGGCATGTAATAAGGAGTACTTTGGCCCTTGGCAGTAACCATGGTCTTACAGTCACATGGGTTATTTTATTATTTTATCAACTTTATGTACTAGCTGTATGCAGTGAAGAGATATTGTAAGTTTGTGATTTAACACCAAATCAGCATTTAGTACAAGTACGTCACTGAATGGGTTGGTGCATTGTTATAAGTATAGCAATGTTACACTCGCAATAATTTAATTCCATAGACGTTTTACTCTTTTTGATAAACTTATTTACATGTTTTACATTCATTGTAGGCCTAAGCTTCTTAAAATTGCAACAAACAAGTATCTGTCAAGATTTCTTTTGACTGGCATCAGATAATGAATGATACGGGTTAGAGTTAGGGTTAGGGTTAGGGTTACAGTTAAAAAGTTGCAAGAAATTGAACAATGAAAAAAGCCACAAAACGTCATAACGGTATTCATCAATATGCAAATGTCGATTTTTAATATGCATAACAGAAACATGGCTTCACGAAACATGGCTTCACGAAACATGGCTTCACGAAACATAGTTTCACAAAACCTGGCTTCACGAAACATGGTTTCACAAAACATGACTTCACAAAACATTACCTGATTCATCCCTGGCATTGGATAAATATATTCTTTTTATGCAGATAGAACAACCAACAGAAGCACCGACAGCGGCAAACCAAAGAGAGGGGTATTTTCAATTTATGTAAACAAAAATTACTGTAACATCAACAACAGTACTGTGAAACACATTGTTTGTACAGCTTGCATGGAATATGTATAAAATTTATTTGCTGAAAATGAATATGTTCAATGTACAGAATAATTGCAACAATAATAAAGATTCCATTTATTTGATTCAATAAAAGAATCTTATCTTATCTTAAATTAAAAATTAAAAAATCGCTCCATGAGATTTCAAATGTTCATGCTTATTTTTTTTTCTGGTATAATATGCATCTATTATAATGGATAAATACATGATCAATTTTATTTATTTATACCGCATACATTTCTACAAGGATAAATGGATCTTAATACAACTTGGGATAAATAGTTTTTACACTTCATTACCCACAAGTAAATGTTGAAAGGATTTTAAGTAGTGAGATTTTTTACATTGTTTTTTTATAGGTTAATGCTTTGACCAATCGGTGAAAGTAGTTGCAATTCTCAGCAAGTGTTCAATGTACTCTCAAATTGTTGGCCTATATCTGAATTCTTCGCATGTTTAATCCTTGAAAATAGCTGCTCAAATATGTAGTAGCTTCCAAATAACGATGACAAATGTACGGCATAATAGTGAAGCAATAGATATTTTTTATTGGGAAATACATTTTTCAAAAATCCAGTTACGAGACATGATAAACGATTTCTTAGAGTTGACTGCCAAATTTTAGGTTACAGATAGGGTTATGGTTAGGTCTATGCATTTCATTTGAAATTAGACTGTTAATATATTAATGCCTACTGAAAATTTAGTTATGTTTAAGAAATTTAAGGTTAGAGTTAGGCTTAGAGTTAGTGTTAGGGCAGTGGTTCTTAATCTTTTTGGAGGTACCGAACCCCACCAGTTTCTTATGCGTATTCACCGCACCCTTCTTAATAGGAAAAATAAAATATGATTTTTTTCTAATTTTTTTTTACCTCCACCGAACCACTGAGACTGACTCACCGAACCCCTGGGGTTCGATCGAACCCAGGTTAAGAACCACTGTGTTAAGGTTAAGATTAGGCTTAGATTTAGGGTTAGGAAATTTCTCGGAAATCTTGAAACATTTTTTTCTGGATCAATTCGAAAAGCAGGGCTTAGGGTCAGAGGCGTAGCGAGTGTGTTTGGAGCCCGGGGACAAGATTCGCGCCGGGGGACAAGATCCATTTCAAAGCGCCACTTTTTCTTTTTTTTCAACTCTCAAACCAATTATTTTCATTAATAAAATAATATCAAAGCACATTTTGGCGCCCCTAACTAGCTGGCGCCCGGGGACATCTGCTTAGGGTTAGGGTTAAGGTCAATTAGAAAAGCAGGTAAAATATAGTCTACTCTGCAAATATAAACTATAAAATTTTATTTTATACTTTATATTTTGTTATTGTTCACATAATGACCGTGTTTAGCAACGTGTCAAAATGCATGCAATGTTTTTCCTACTTTGGAGTTTGCCATCGTTTCCGTTTCATTTCGAAAGCTGTTACTGTTATAGTTTGAAACATTGTAATTGATCAGTTGGCCTTCACCTTGATGATGCCTGTTGACCTCACTTAAAAATGCCAAATCTGTGAGCCAGTTTTCCTCGTCAAGTTCTGGATCAAATGTTGTTTTTGATTCCATAGTCCCCTTTATTACATTTCCCAAATCTAAAATCATTTCATCGACATTCTAATTCTGTAGCCATCTTACGCCTGAAAAGTTAAAGGTGTCTCCATATTCAGCGTACATAAATTTATTGAATTCCTGGAATTGGCGATAAATCAATACCATGGTCCTATGCCATTTACAGTATTGGTGACAATCTGCATGACGTTATTCACCTTTAAAGACTTTGCGCATCAATGTTCTTGGTGAAATGTTCTTGATGGAACGTTCTTGGTGAATGTTCTTGAGGGAACGTTCTTGGTGAAATGTTCTTGGTGAAATGTCTTGGTGAAATATTCTTGGTGAAATGTTCTTGGTGGAAAGTTCTTGGTGAGATGTTCTTGGTGGAACGTTCTTGGTGAATGTTCTTGAGGGAACGTTCTTGGTGAAATGTTCTTAGTGAAATGTTCTTGGGGGAACGTTCTTGGTGAAATGTTCTTGGTGAAATGTTCTTAGTGAAATGTTTTTTGATGAAATGTTCTTGGTGAAATTTTTTTGATGAAATGTTGTTGGTGAAATGTTTTTTGATGAAATGTTCTTGGTAAATGTTTTTTGATGAAATGTTCTTGGTGAGTTATGCTGTTAGGTTTCATCATACATTTTGGGAGACAATTCTTTTATAAGTTTACCTATTTTTGGCATCATCAGGATACCATTGGTAATATATAAACAGATATATACAGATATATTCATACTGGAAAAAGAAAATCGCTCTAATGTATTTTAGTCCATAAAATGTCCAATTCATTGGTTATATAGAAACTGCATATTACAAGCCTGTTTCCGGGTATGACAGTGTGGCCAACAGGAATACCGCTTTGTCTTACCCGGTAAATCATTGGACTTGTAAATGTTAATGGTATTTTTAGTTGCAGTCTCAATATGTTTTGTTAGGACCGCATTCATTGCCGCCCTGGGCTGCATGTGACCCGGGGGGTGGACACTCCTGCTATAAGACTGATATGTGACCCGGGGGTCGGACACTCCTGCTATAAGACTGATATGTGACCCGGGGGTCGGACACTCCTGCTATAAGACTGATATGTGACCCGGGGGGTGGACACTCCTGCTATAAGACTGATATGTGACCCGGGGGTCGGACACTCCTGCTATAAGACTGATATGTGACCCGGGGGTCGGACACTCCCGCTATAAGACTGATATGTGACCCGGGGGTCGGACACTCCTGCTATAAGACTGATATGTGACCCGGGGGTCGGACACACCTGCTATAAGACTGATATGTGACCCGGGGGTCGGACACTCCTGCGATAAGACTGATATGTGGCCCGGGGGTCGGACACTCCTGCTATAAGACTGATATGTGACCCGGGGGTCAGACACTCCTGCTATAAGACTGATATGTGACCCGGGGGTCGGACACTCCTGCTATAAGACTGATATGTGACCCGGGGGTCGGACACTCCTGCTATAAGACTGATGTGTGACCGGGGGTCAGATACTCCTGCTATAAGACTGATGTGTGACCCGGGGGTCGGACACTCCTGCTATAAGACTGATATGTGACCCGGGGGTGGACACACCTGCTATAGGACTGATATGTGACCCGGGGGTCGGACACACCTGCTATAAGACTGATATGTGACCCGGGGGTCGGACACACCTGCTATAAGACTGCTGTTTAATGGCCGTCCATGTAGTTTTTAGGCACTGAGGGGGGAGGAGGGTTGTCGATTTTGGAGATTTCCGGCGCCTATGCCAAATTTAGGTTTTCACCAAGCGCCCTTTGCTCAATTCTAACAGGTTTTCACCAGGCGCCCTTTGTTCAATTCTAACAGGTTTTCACCAGGCGCCCTTTGTTCAATTCTAACAGGTTTTCACCAGGCGCCCTTTGTTCAATTCTAACAGGTTTTCACCAGGCGCCCTTCGTTCAATTCTAACAGGTTTTCACCAGGCACCCTTTGTTCAATTCTAACAGGTATTCACCAGGCGCCCTTTGTTCAATTCTAACAGGTTTTCACCAAGCGCCCTTTGTTCAATTCTAACAGGTTTTCACCAGGCGCCCCCCCCTGGGGAGATCCGTAAAAAGACCCTTTGTCTTTCTGAAGTATATTTTATTTTATATTTTAATTCACTATTAAAATCTTATTTAAAAGACTATTTTGGTGTCCGTAATGGTGGCGCCCTGTGTGACTGCCCTCTTAGCTCCATTCCCATGGCTCTGCCAGAGGGCATTGTGGCACCAAAAGCAACAATTCATTGTATTGTTTATTAGCTAACTTTTCAGCCTTGTTAGGGTTAGGGTTAGGTGTAACCCGGCGTATAGTATGAGAACAATTATTTGTATTGTTATAAGCGGATTAGGGTTAGGGTTAGGGTTAGGTGTAACCCGGCGTATAGTATGAGAACAATTATTTGTATTGTTATAAGCGGATTTTTCCTGATTTGTTAGTGATAAAAGGACAACCAAAAATATTCTGAAATAGGGATTCTCAAATATTTATTTTATAACAGACAAGAATAGACCGACACTATTTTATAACAGACAAGAATAGACCGGTTAGGGTTAGGGTTAGGGTTAGGGTTATAGACCGACACTGCAGATTTCGACGTATTTTGAGATGTGATGTGATTGACTTTATAAAGATATCATTAAAAATGCTTTAATGTCATAATTTTAACTGTATAAAGATATCATTAGAAATGTTTAGATTTGATATGATTGTCTCTATAAAGATATCATTAGAAATGTTATATCAGGCAATTGTCAACCCTCTCTGACAAATGCTCTACAAAGTTGACCATGAAGCTCAACTGTAGGGGAAGAACCAGTGATGTAACTAGTGACTAGTGTCTGGGTCACCCAAGATTTTAACCTCCCTCTGCCACGAAAGATAGCTGTAGCGGCCACACATACCACCCGTCCATATTAATTGAGACAAAGAATTTCTTTCTTGGAGAGTTGACATGAACAAATATAACGTTGTTTCATTGACCATTATTTCTAGTGAGAAATATAAACCGGGCATTCTTTTAAAATCAACAAACATCGAATGACAAATTGGGGTGGGCCAATTCAGTTTATTTGAAATAGATTTATTGGACCAAAATATATCTTATTTTTAAAAAAATTTAGTACCAAAACATAGAACTTATTAAAAGTGTAATTGATATCATTCGCAATAATTCCTTGAGTAATTGGCCATCAATATAATTTAATGTTTGGCATTCGATGACCACATCTTCTCAACAACGTCCAGATGTTTGCATCTGCTTCCAAGCCAAAGCAATTTGTCCATGGCGCAGGCTCCTTCCATGATGGGTCCACACACAGAATTGCTACATTCAAGTAGGTCGTCGGTTGCCTCCTAGAAATAAAGCAAAAAGTCAAAATTTTAACAAATCATGTAGACCAGCCTTCCTTATATGGTGGTCTGCGGCCCGGCACCGGTCCTCGAGGCTGATGTTGCCGGTCCGCATCAAAAAGTTTGTATGGTCAAAATATTACTTTCGCACTCGTCCCTGGTGGAATTCCAAACTTTGTCCACTAGTCCATCAAATTAAAAAAAAAAAAAAAATTAAACGCCAATGTAGACTCTATGCAATCAGATCAATGCAGACAATATCTTTATTGAAATTTAAATTGTTTAAATTATAACTAAAACTTAATAAATCGTATGGTTTGGTAAGTTTCTACATGACCAAGCATAAGGTTTGGTAACTTTCCACATAATTCAGAGCTATTGGCACATTTCTCCCCCGTTCACTAATAAGTTACAAAGACAGGTTCTTCATCAAAGTAAATGTCTTGAACAATGTTTCTTTAAGGGCATCTCTCCAGCCATTCAAAACTCTCATCATTGATCCCTCATCACTGATCCCTCATCATTAGTCACTCATCAATGGTTCCTCACCATTGGTTCCTCATCATTGGTCCCTCATCATTGATCCCTCATCATTGTTCCTTCATCTTTGGTCCCTCATCATTGATCATTCATCATTCATCCCTCATCTAATCCTCGAACCTCCGAGGTCCAACCCTCCCGTTCAACCCCTAAACCATATTTCCCAGCCTGTCGAACTTAACCCTCCCGTTCAACCTCAATATCCCACCGTGTCGAATCCTAGCCCCTATATCCCACCCTGTCGAACCCTAATCCTCAATAGATTCTCGCCTTACCTTTACCATTTCAACCATTTATTCCCCCCTCCCATTCCACCGTTCCACCGAACTGCTATATTCTGGCGATATGGTATTGACTTGATGCGGGTATACAATATTATTTTGACAGGCGTTTAGCCAATGTTTCTCCGAAACATAATGAATTATTTTTTAAAAATTGATTTTGGTTATCTTTGCAGAGTAAATAACCTAAATAACCCAAAATAGCCGATACTTTAAATTTTTGGTAACAAAAGTATCGGGTAAAAATTTTGATATTTTGTATTCTAATGTTAACACAATCAATTTCAAGATACTATGTCTTTGTCTGGCTAATGAAGGTCTCAAGATAACAAAAGTATCGGGTAAAAATTGTGATATTTTGTATTCTAATGTTAACACAATCAATTTCAAGATACTATGTCTTTGTCTGGCAAATGAAGGTCTCAACGTAAGAAATCATCGGTGCTTGCTAATGTTCATTTCAATAAAGACGGGGATTGAAATAACCCACCCGCTGTTATCCCTGTTGAGACTTTCGCCTGCCTAAGTGGTTCATTTCCGCACTTGGCTAAAAGAAAATTGCCTTTATAGCGCTTTTCCCCCCAAATTCCGCAAACATTCGCTTTTCTTCTCTACGAGATCGAAATTTTGATTTTTATAATTACCCTAAGATTATTTGAATTTTCAGTTTTCTATACCGCTACCGATAACCCGTAATGTAATCAAGCTACTGTTTTAGGGTTAGGTTTAACTTAGGGCTAGGCTTAGGGTTAGGGTTATGGATAAGTTTAGGGTTAGAGTTAGGGTTAACCCTAAGATAATGTATTCAAGCTATGGTTAACTAACGTTTGTTACGACAGAGCATCTACTTAATCAATATTTTTTTGTGAAAATAATAATACAATTTCAAAGTTGTATATCAAAATAAGAATTTTAGATCATTATTATAATTTGCTTTATTAGCTACATTTAACACTGATCACGTCAAATGAGAAATGGACACATGAGTTTGAGTTCATAATTCAAGACGAGTATTTAGAAGTTGTTGAACTGCGATAAAGATTTTCAGTATGTAATTGCGACACAAACAATCTGTGTCATTAAAACAGTATTGAGGGTGGGCCAATAAAAGTGAGAACATCTCGTAGCATATGAGTTATTTCAGAATATAATTTAATTAATTATAATTCTTCATGGAATTTTTTTTTTTGCAAAATATTTAGCTAATCAGAAATGATGTTCAATGTGTCCTCCTTGCTTCTCAACGACTTTTTCCAAGCGTCGACGCCACTCGTTTATGCTTCTGTCAATGAAACGTTGCCTTAGATTTCATCATTCCTCGATTATTGCTAACTTGAGCTGCTCAACTGTGGTAAATTTTCGCCGAAGGTAGACTTTTTCTTGCAAAGCCCCCATGTGGCATAATCTACTGGGTTTAAATCTGGGCTGTTCAGTGGCCACATGTCTGGCTCGATGAAGTTAATATTCTCCCGACGAAGAAAGTTGATTGTATATCTGGCTATGTGAGATGGGGCTCCGACCTACTGCAATGTCCAGTTATGGCGACCACATTTCGTTTGAATGTCAGGCAACAATTCTCTTCTGAGAACTTGTTCACAATAATATTCAATATTTACTTACTATGGGTATAGATGAACTAAATTTGATGTGATTAAATCACATTTTGCGAGATGTTTTCACTTTTATTGGCCCACCCTGTATATATACATATATGATGTCAGTAATGTGTATATACATATATAAATATATGATGTACAATATTTATATTAATGCTATATGTTAACGTTATGTTTTATTTGTTATTATGTTGGTGAGTCTACCGCACCGGGTGACACCAACCCTAACCGCACCGGGTGACACCAACCCTAACCGCACCGGGTGACACCAACCCTAACCGCAGCGGGTGACACCAACCCTAACCGCAGCGGGTGACACCAACCCTAACCGCACCGGTTGACACCAACCCTAACCGCAGCGGGTGACACCAACCCTAACCGCACCGGGTGACACCAACCCTAACCGCACCGGGTGACACCAACCCTAACCGCAGCGGGTACCGCAGCGGGTGACACCCACCCTAACCGCAGCGGGTGACACCAACCCTAACCGCACCGGGTGACACCAACCCTAACCGCACCGGGTGACACCAACCCTAACCGCACCGGGTGACACCAACCCTAGTTACACCACTGCTGTTATTATTTGTTTTTATGATGGACTGATGAGGGCCGTAGCCCAGTGGTTCTCAACCTTCCTATGGCCACGACCCCTTGATACAGTTCCTCATGTTGTGGTGACCCCCAGCCACCAAATTAATTTGTTGCTACTTCATAACTGTAGATTATATGTGTTTTCAAATGGTCTTAGGCGAACCCTGGAAAGGGTCGTGCTACCCCCCAAGGGGACGCGACCCACAGGTTGAGAACTGCCGTAACCGAAATGATTAAATATGTATTTTATTGTACGAACTCGTATGGCAATTAAAGCCAGTGTCGTAGCTAGGGGGTGCGTGGGGTTCGGACCGCACCGGGTGACATCAACCCTAGATACGCCACTGACTAAAAATTCAAATATGCTGTTTTATTTATATGTATTTTATTTTATGTCTCACTCATCTAATTATTATGTATACACTGAGATTGTAACAATTTTCTACATCGAACCCTAACTCTAGCTACGTAAACTACATTTCTTATATTTCAATCAATGTATGTCGAAACTCTTTTATGAATTTAAAAAATGGTAATAATAACAAAATGAGAACCTGTCTTTTCCAAGTGGGTGACGCCCTCTTCTCTAATCTCACGTATTTCCCATATTTAGAGGTGAAATAATTTGAAGCGACAAAATCTATGCAAACAAAAACTCTCCTAATCTCAAGAGATGCTCTTTTATTGCACAGTTGTCTCCTGCAATTATGTTTGTCATCACTTGAAACTCCTCAAAAAGAAATTGATATTTTGCTAGCAAGCTGATTCATCTTTCAGCAATATCATTACAATGGAAAGAAAACAGAATGTTTTTAAGCATGTATGTTAGGGTATGCGCCCAAATGTTCGTTATGCGCCCAAATGTGCATTATGCGCCCAAATGTGCGTCATGCTCCCAAATGTTCATTATGCGCCCAAATGTTCGTTATGCGCTCAAATGAGCGTTATGCGCTCAAAATGTTCATTATGCGCCCAAATGTTCGTTATGCGCCCAAATGAGCGTTATGCGCCCAAAATGTGCATTATGTGCCCAAGTGCGCGTTATGCATGTCTGTACTGAGGCATTGACAGAGAGATCTATCAGGTGTGTACTGAGGGATTGACAGAGAGAGATATCAGGTGTGTACTGAGGCATTGATGGAGAAATATATCAGGTGTGTACTGAGGCATTGATAGAGAAATATATCAAGTGTGTACTGAGGCATTGATAGAGAAATATATCATGTCTGTACTGAGGCATTGATAGAGAGATATATCATGTCTGTACTGAGGCACTGACATAGAGATATATCAGGTGTGTACTGAGGTATTGACAAAGAGATACCAGTGGTGTACTGAGGAATTGACAGAGAGATATATGAGGTGTGTACTGAGGCATTGACAGAGTGATGTATCAGGTGTGTCAGAGGCAACATAGCTGTAGAAGTGTGGGGCATCATAGATAGCAGTGGAGTTGGAGCAAATTAGCAGGTAGGAGAGTGAGGCATACATTTCAATACGCTAATTTTAAAAAGTGCAATTTATAATAATTTTTAAAAAAAAATTATTAACACTTTTGGAGCTTGCAGTTCTCAGAAATGTAACCAGCTCATGGCAAAAACACCTTGCTCCGGGCCTCCTTTCTATATCCCTACTTAAATCGATCCGGAGCTCCTTTCTATATCCCTACTTACATAGGTCCGGAACTCCTTTCTATATCCCTACATACATCGGTCCGGAGCTCATTTCTATATCCCTACTTACATCGGTCCGGAGCACATTTCTATATCCCTACTTACATCGGTCCGGAACTCCTTTCTATATCCCTACTTACATCGGTCCGGAACTCCTTTCTATATCCCTACTTACATCGGTCCGGAGCTCATTTCTATATCCCTACTTACATCGGTCCGGAACTCCTTTCTATATCCCTACTTACATCGGTCCGGAACTCCTTTCTATATCCCTACTTACGTCGGTCCGGAACTCCTTTCTATATCCCTACTTACATCGGTCCGGAGCTCATTTCTATATCCCTACTTTCATCGGTCAGGAACTCCTTTCCATATCCCTACTTTCATCGTCAGGAACTCCTTTCTATATCCCTACTTACATCGATCCGGAGCTCCATTCTATATCCCTACTTACATCGATCCGGAGCTCCATTCTATATCCCTACTTACATCGATCCGGAGCTCATTTCTATTTACTTACTTACATCGGTCCGGAGCTCATTTCTATTTACTTACTTACATCGGTCCGGAGCTCATTTCTATATACTTACATCGAAACCCTGCAATAACGCTTCTTTAAAAATATTCTACAAATAGATTCTCCACCAACAATCTGAAGTCCATACAAACTAGACCAACTTCAGTAATGTAAATAAGATTCAAGAAAGGAGTGGAAATACTAGTAGCTGATTAACTGTTTGTATTCGAGAGTTTCCGACATTTTTATTGTATAACATTTATAAAAATGTCGATTCATCTTAAAAGAAAATTCTAATTTAAAAATAGAATTCATGGAATCCATTGTAGCTGGATATATGATACAGCGTAGTTTGGCCAAACCCAGCGACCCATAATATTACTCTACATGTCATCAGTCGAGAATAGAATAGAAGCCAAATAAATTATCAGAGAATGGCAGTCTCGGAAATAAAAAAAGAAAATTTTTAATCATCTAGAGATGCACAGACAACATTAGAAAAGGCATGTTACAGGTCAGTCCATATAAAAACGTCATTTTGAGTCTGACAGGAAACTGGTTTACAATGGGAACATCTCAAGAAATTGAAATCTATTTATTTAATGTATTCTTTATATTAGAACCCTAACCCCTCAATGTGACGTACGAATACATTTTAGTGAAGAAAACGGGATTAACCCTAACCCTAACCCTAACCCTAACCCTAACCCCTCAATGTGACGTAGGAATACATTTTAGTGAAGAAAACGGGATTAACCCTAACCCTAACCCTAACCCTAAAACCTATTAGCGACCGGATGTTAGGTGATATTTTTGGTGCCTATTGACTAGCATGAATGATCAGCGAGTCTATACAAATGAAGGATGGCATTGAGAGCTGCACTCAAGGGTTGAAGCTCGGGTGAAAAAACTGCTCAACAACATTAAAAAGCTTTCTTCTCGTTTCAACTCAATGAACCGTGTGGCCAGATACAAGAGCCAAATGGATCTCAAGGAGATGGTGTTTTAAGTCAGCAACTAAATCCTGGTCTCCGAATTTTTTAACAGAAAATGCAGGATGTCATAGCTTTAGACTGAGTTTTGTATAAAGCTGGGTTAGTAGTTCGTGTCTGTCAAGCCAGAAATGTTCATAACAAGAAAAAACAGTTCTGAAAACTGACAGGCTAACAATCTAAATTTTAAAAAGAATTTACTTCGTTATTTGTAACAAACTAATGTTTAACTTTATAAAATGTTTCATATAAAAATATATATGTATATTACTAGAAAGTAATGTCTGATAATAAGGTCAAGAAAATTTCAAATAGCTCTCTCCTAGAACATGATTCAATGTGTAGTTTGTAAATGTTTGTGTACACAAAACAGGTAAAGGACGATCCTTTAAATTTACAATTTCTTACTACTTGCCGATTCTTACTACTTGCAATTTCTTACTACTTACAATTTCTTATTAGTTGAAATTTCTTACTAGCAATTTCTTATCTCTTACTACTTACAATTTCTTACTACTTAAAATTTCTTACTGCTTGCAATTTCTTACTACTCGCAATTTCTTACTACTCACAATTTCTCACTACTTGATATTCCTTATTTCTTACTAATTACTTATTCTTACTACTTGAAGTTTCTTACTGCGATCAATTCAATTTCTTACTACTCGCAATTTCTTACTGCTTACAATTTCTTACTACTTACAATTTCTTACTAGTCACAATTTCTTACTACTTGCAATTTGTTACTACTCGCAATTTCTTACTACTTGCAATTTGTTACTACTTGATATTTCTTATTTCTTACTACGTACTATTTCTTACTACTTAAAATTTCTTACTGCTTGCAATTTCTTACTACTTGAATTTTCTTACTTCTTGAAATTTCTTACTACTTGCGATTTCTTACAACTAGCAATTTCTTACTACTTGCAATTTCTTAATAGTTGCGATTTCTTACTAGTCACAATTTCTTACTAGTCACAATTTCTTACTACTTGCAATTTGCTACTACTTTTAATTTCTTAATGCTTGCAATTTCTTACTACTCACAATTTCTTAATACTTGCAATTTCTTACTACTTGATATTTCTTATTTCTTACTACGTACTATTTCTTATTCTTGAAATTTAGTACTGCTTGCAATTTCTTACCACTTACAATTTCTTACTACTTACAATTTCTTACTACTTACATATTCTGATTACGTCAGTTTGACCTATACCCTGTCATGTGCGAGGTTAGGGTTAGGGTTAGGGTTAGGTGTTAGGGGTTAGGGTTAGGGTTAGGGTTAGGGTTCTGACGGGTCTCACCAAATGGTTGTTCTGACGGGTCTCACCAAATGGTTGTTATGACGGGTCTCATCGAATGATTGTTCTGACGGGTCTCATAAAATGGTTGTTCTGACGGGTCTCATCAAATGGTTGTTCTGACGGGTCTCATCAAATGGTTGTTCTGACGGGTCTCATCAAATGGTTGTTCTGACGGGTCTCATCAAATGGTTGTTCTGACGGGTCTCATCAAATGGTTGTTCTGACGGGTCTCATCAAATGGTTGTTCTGACGGGTCTCATCAAATGGTTGTTCTGACGGGTCTCATCAAATGGTTGTTCTGACGGTTCTCATCAAATGGTTGTTCTGATGGGTCTCATAAAATGGTTGTTCTGATGGGTCTCATCAAATGGTTGTTCTGACGGGTCTCATAAAATGGTTGTTCTGATGGGTCTCATAAAATGGTTGTTTTGACGGGTCTCATAAAATGGTTGTTCTGACGGGTCTCATAAAATGGTTGTCCTGACGGGTCTCATAAAATGGTTATTCTGATGGGTCTCATAAATGGTTGTTCTGATGGGTCTCATAAAATGGTTGTTCTGATGGGTCTCATAAAATGGTTGTTCTGACGGGTCTCATAAAATGGTTGTTCTGACGGGTCTCATAAAATGGTTGCTCTGACGGGTCTCATCAAATGGTTGTTCCGACGGGTCTCATCAAATGGTTGTTCTGACGGGTCTCATAAAAATGGTTGTTTTGACGGGTGTCATAAAATGGTTAATCTGACGGTTCGCGTAAAATTGTTGCTCTGACGGGTCTCGACGGAGAAAAGCAAAAGACATCTCGCTATAATCATAAAAGTAAACAGGTCTGCTGTAGGTCTACAATAAAACTATTACAAAAAACCCGTGATACATGCACACACGTGTCAATAACAATGTTGGTGAGCATGATAATGATGAATTTCAAGAATTGAATCAATTGAAAAAGCCTAAAAAAAAATAATAATGGAATTTTGTTTAAAATTATCATTCCTTTGGATTTTTAAATATTATTCACCTTTGCATATGACAATATTGACGAGCACGATAATGATAAATCAAAATGAATATCCCAAATAAAAGAATTGAATAAACCTAGGGTTCCACATTTTAATTTTGAAAAGAATTAAAACAAATAGGCCTATAATTATATAAATATTACCATTTCATTCGTTTTTCTTCCAACAAAATGTTTTTATTTGTCTAAGCCTAATTGAAATTTATCTTTTTTAAATCAAGGCCAAGCAGGTTATCAAGCAGCTGAGAGCAGTTTTCGTAAGTACCAATCATAAAACAAAAGATGAGAGCAAGACGCCGAGGAATAATGAATATCGGATCGCCGACCAAGAGACAGACAGTCTGACTTCTGGTAGATGACCGAACACCTTAGTTAATTTCGGCCAGATGGCCGAAAGTCTCAATTGCTTTCGGTCGAAATCAAAATTTTACCGAAAGTTAACGTTTCTGTTTCGTCCGAAACCGAAACGAAGTCTAAAGTGATCAAATAGCAACTTTCGGCGAAAAAACCGAAACCGAAATTCGGTCGGTCTCTAGTTAGGGTTAAAGTTAGGGTTAGGGAAAGGTTGAGTTAGGGTCAGAGCGATAATGCAAGGGGCAAAAATAATTTGTAAGAAATAAAATAATTGAAGTTACTACAGTGTTTATTTAATGTGTGTGAATGTGTTTACTAGTAAAGTTACTACAGTGTTTAATCAATAAGTGTGAATGTGCTTGCTAGTGAAGTTATTACAGTGTTTATTTAATATGTGTGAATGTGTTTGCTAGTAAAGTTACTAAAGTGTTTAGTTAATTTTGCAAAATATTTTAAAGTACGTCATCGCTAACCCTAAACACTAGTTAATATTTGTTCCTCACTTGAGCCATTAGCTGAAATCGGTTTTTAAACCAAAGTTTCGTTACAGGCAGATAGGTCATGACCCTAACCTTTTAGCGGAGGGTCAGGGCCCTAATCCAGTGATCATGGGCATTTTCAAATAAGATGCCTAAACTCTATCGTCGGGTATACCTGTTAAACTACAGCAACTTTATCGATTCCTAAAAATAACCTCACGAAGAGCTTATATCGATTAATGCCAAAAGAAGGCGGTATCGATACAATTTTACACTGCATCATAATCTCTAACGATTTTTTAACGGGTAATGTAAAGGATCTGTTAACCCTGTCGAAGCCGAAATGACTACTTGTATCACTAAAATCAATAGTCCATCACGTTACTAAGTGAAATGAGACAGGCTACCTAATTTGCTCATGGAAACTAACCAAGTAATCTGAACTGTAAGTATGTCGGTATAAAGTTGTGTGCAACAGCAGTCTATGTCGGTATATAGTTGTATACAGCAGCAGTGTATGTCGGTATGTATGCAACAGCAGTGAGTTTAGAAAGAGGGGTGGGGGGTGTTCCGTCCCGGGCGCCCTTCTTTTTAGTTATATTGAGGCGCTGCATTTTTGAAGTGCTTTTACGCGAAAGGGGGTGGCATAAATCATATCCCAGCTCGGGTGGCACTTACTCTAGGTACGCCACTGGTAACAGACTGCGTTTGCTGCAATGGCTTACTATTGAAAACAACTCACTATATGCAAAGACACACAACTGAAATCTTTCATTAGACTGAGAGTGCTTAGGCCCTATTTGTTACCTACCGGGTATTTTATTTCAAATATGTGTTATTTCTTTTGATGTATTGTCTGCTGAAGAAGGCATTTAGCCATAGCTTCATTTGAATTGTTCTGTCTTTCAAGCCGAAACATATTTTGTTCCACCATTTTTTCAACAGATCCCTTGAAAGATTTTATTTGAACTGTTATGAATATTTCAACCTAAAGAAACTCTTGAATTCGATTACACAATGACATAGACTGTAACAAGATAAAACACATGTGCTCGGTAGTTACTAGATCAAACACATGTGTTCTGACAAAACTAGATCAAAAACATGTGTTCTGTAGTAGCTAGATCAAGCACATGTGTTCTGTAGTAACTAGATCAAGCAATGTGCTCTGACGAAACTAGATCAAAAACATGTTTTCTGTAGTAGCTAGATAAAAAAAATGTGTTCTGTAGTAACTAGATAAAAAAACATGTGTTCTGTAGTAACTAGATCAAGCACATGTGTTCTGTAGTAACTAGATCAAAAGCATGTGTAGTGTAGTAACTAGATCAAGCACATGTGTTCTGTAGTAACTAGATCAAAAAATGGTTTCTGTAGTAACTAGACCAAAAACATGTGTAGTGTAGTAACTAGATCAAGCACATGTGTTCTGTAGTAACTAGATCAAAAAAATGTGTTCTGTAGTAACTAGATCAAAAACATGTGTTCTGTAGTAACTAGATCAAGCACATGTGTTCTGTAGTAACTAGATCAAAAACATGTGTAGTGTAGTAACTAGATCAAGCACATGTGTTCTGTAGTAACTAGATCAAAAAAATGTGTTCTGTAGTAACTAGATCAAAAACATGTGTTCTGTAGTAACTAGATCAAGCACATGTGTTCTGTAGTAACTAGATCAAACACATGTGTTCTGTATTAGCTAGATCAAACACATGTGTTCTTTAGAGTCTATTTTATTGAGATAATAAATTGTATAAAACATATTACATTTTTGAAGATATTGTTTACGTGCCACACCAGATTTGCAGAAGTTCTCAGCCTTGAGTTGTCGCCACAGAGAGGTACGAGACAATATTTCGGTTGAGGGGGGTGGGGGGGTGCAAGAAAACGTGATTTCAGAAGTCTACTGAGCCACTGGCTTTTAAATGATAAATGGCTTTTTTTCTTGATGATCATATCCCTTCATTTAAATAATAATAAAACCCATCTCTCAGATCACTCATTTGCACTGCAGGGGCGTTTGGAACAGTTAGTGCTGAGTTATAGGTATTGGCTAGCTCCAAGTACGCTAGATAGAAAGTGGTTAGGTACTGGCTAGCTCCAAGTACGCTAGATAGAAAGTGGTTAGGTACTGGCTAGCTCCAAGTACGCTAGATAGAAAGTGGTTAGGTACTGGCTAGCTCCAAGTACGCTAGATAGAAAGTGAAATTCATTAAATGAAAATTTTGTAACACACGCGCACCACCTTTGGGGACAATTTATTTAAAATATAAAACCTGACATATGAATGACGCACCACCTTTGGGAACCACTTATTTTAACCTGACATACATAACGCACCAACTTTGGGGACCACTTATTTAAGGGTTAAATCCTGACATACATAACGCACCAACTTTGGGGACCACTTATTTAAGAGTTAAATCCCGACATACATGACGCACCAACTTTGGGGACCACTTATTTAAGAGTTAAATCCCGACATACATGACGCACCAACTTTGGGGACCACTTATTTAAGAGTTAAATCCCGACATACATGACGCACCAATTTTGGGGACCACTTATTTAAGAGTTAAATCCTGACATACATGACGCACCAACTTTGGGGACCACTTATTTATATTTTATATCCTCACAAAAATAAACTTGCACTTATTGATTTTTTAATCCTTGGGTATCCGTGTCAGACATAATTGCGTTAAGTATTCATGAACTGTTTATATGCACTGTTTGTTGAACTATTTGTATTAACTTTTTTGTATGAACTTTTTATATGAACTGTTCGTATGATCTGTTTTTATGAACTACTATTGATATAATGCAATAATACGCAATGTGACGGTCGGGTCTACTTGTGGAGATAGGGGGTGACGCGATGCTCAATATTCGAGTTTTAATTCTTGTTGATCTAATTGTTTGAACACACTGTCGTAAGTATTTGACGGGATTTGTTATTGTTTTAGCCTAAATTTATGTAGCTTTTTTTAATGAACTAAACTGTAGAAAAATTTATGTTGATTCAATATCAGCCAAAAGGTAATTGTTACCAACCGTTTTTTTTTCAAGGCTAGCGTAAAACTAGCTTTGTTGACATACGACTTAAACCATTGGGAGGCTCTTGTCTTACATTCTTTGTTTTAAATTATCGAGCAATATATTTTTTAATTCGTCAGAACTTACGTCATAATTCGGAAATTCACTCTCTTATTACTGCAGACTCATTCATTTCAGTTTTTTTCTAAATCTCCCTCAGAGCAATGTCACGTGATACGTGATTCGGGAGTGTCACCGAGTGGACGGAAAATATATTTTATCACACAGTGCAAATACATTTTTTGAGGAAACAGAGTCAGTATATGAGGATATTAATTACTTCACTGACGTACGTTGGATTAGAAGGGGAAATGTCTTTAAACGGTTGTTTAAGTTAAGAGCAGAAATCAAAGCTTTCGTGGAGAAAAATGGGCTGGGTGTTCCTGTACTACGTGATCCCACATGGCCCATGGCCTTGGCTTTTCTACTGACATTTGACAGGAGCTTGTCAAGGTCATGAAATCAGAGGAGGTATTGTGTGTGTTGTGGTTTGTGACCAGAACGTCAGAGTGAACGAGGGAAATAAAAAAAAAAAAAAAGAGAGAGAGAGAGAGAGAGAGAGAGAGAGAGGTGATAACTTGAATGTGAGAATTCATGTTGGATTCTCTCAAATGGATTTACTGAATAGACATCTGATAAATTATTGAAAGTGTGTGTATTATTCTCTGCATCTCAACTTTGTTATAACATTATTCTGATGTCAAGGAATCATGTGATTTAATTAGCGTATATAATAAGGCACTGTGTAGTGTACATTGGACATTGTTGCTTCTTATCAGAGAGAGAGAGAGAGAGAGAGAGAGAGAGAGAGAGAGAGAGAGAGAGAGAGAGAGAGAGAGAGAGAGAGAGAGAGAGACAATCGTTGTGAAGTTGGATATAATAGACCAGGCCAAATATTTTACAGAGCTGAGTGTTGCCCATGACAATGCCCTAACCCTAACCCCTTCTGCACAAAACTTGTGTTATGGAAAGCCCAGGTTTCTCTGAGATTCCTCTGCCATTTCTGAACAGGCAAAAAACTAAAAACTCATGGACTCTGGCACACCATTCAGTAGTAAGTAAACACACAAAACCCCTTTTCACCTTTTTGCTGTCACTTTCGTAATGTGGAGGATGCCCCCCCCCCCCCCAACTTTTGCGCTTCAAATCGAGCTGGTGATTTTCAGTGCAATTCTGAACTCAAGGCTAAGTTCAGGGAGGTGAATGGAAAAACAGACAAGCTTGGACAATTTATGAGAGAACTGTCCTCCAACTTCCCTGAGATTTCATCAAGCGGATCGTGTGCCTCTTTTCCACTAGGAACTTTAACAAATCGAAGCTCAGGGCCACACTTACTGTTGAGCAACTTCAAGCTATTCTGAGGGTCCCAGTTGACTCTTCACTGAAACCAAACGTCGCTCCGGAGCTGTGTAAGAAGAAGCGCTGCCAGATCTCTGGCAACAAGGAGTAGGAGGAAGCAAGTGAAGCCCAGTTCTTGTGAACCCTTAATGTTTTTATTTGTTATTAATAAAGTTTGAACAGATTGTAACAGTTGTACTTTATTGAATTTGTAATCGCTTTTTTGATGTGGCCCAGTTTCACTCAGACTCTGCCTCCTGCGGCCCCCCGGATAATTTGAGTTTGAGATCCCTGGATTATATCTCAGTATTTTAAATGCTTTTTAAAATGCATTTTACAGTATATAAAATACATATTTAATGCGCGTAGCATATTTAAGATTCGTAAATCTAACAAAATAAATTTCTCATCCATTAAATTTATTAAAAATTAGTTACAAACTTACCGTTTCCGGGAAGCAAATATTACAGATGAAAAGACAGGCGTGATCAGGGGCCATGAGGTCAAGGTAAATGACAGGGTCAATCTGGTTTAAGGGCGAGGATGTTACACTGTGTTTCCCACTTGTCAGTTGAGCAACAACGAGAAGGAAGACAATAGCTGTGTTGGATTTCATTCTTAGCGCTGTTAAAAAAGACAAAAAAATCACAAGAAGTTGACATACAAGTGGGTTAGTTCTGCCTCATTTACTTACTAACCCTAACCCTAACAATTGCAGTTTAAATCTTTGCAAACGTAAAGCCTCGGGGGTGGGGGGGTGGAGAAATAAGGCAATACTAACTGTGGTGAGAAGAAATAAGGCAATACTAACTGTGGTGAGAAGAAATAAAGCAATACTAACTGTGGTTAGAAGAAATAAGGCAATACTAACTTTAGTGAGAAGAAATAAGGCAATACTAACTGTAGTCAGAAGAAATAAAGCAAATTCTAACTGTATTGAGAAGAAATAAGGCAATACTAACTGTGGTGAGAAGAAATAAGGCAATACTAACTGTGGTGAGAAGAAATAAAGCAAATTCTAACTGTATTGAGAAGAAATAAGGCAATACTAACTGTGGTGAGAAGAAATAAGGCAATACTAACTGTAGGGAGGAGAAATAAGGCAATACTAACTGTAGGGAGGAGAAATAAGGCAATACTAACTTCGTCGAAAAGATACCGTGGGTTGGACAGAACTGAAATGATGAAATAAGCCTTCACTGACGACTCATGTTTTGCAAGTTAGAACAGAAGTGGATACGTCGCACTCATTCAGCACTCAGTGAGTGGTAGAGGTAGCACCAACAGAGGAGATTTCAGGACCCAGGGAGTGGTAGGGGTAGCTTCAACAGAGGAGATTTCAGGGCCCAGGGAGTGGTAGGCGTAGCTCCAACAGAGGAGATTTCAGGGCCCAGGGAGTGATAGGGGTAGCTCCAACAGAGGGGATTTTAGGGCCAAGGGAGTGTTAGGGGTAGCTCCAACAGAGGAGATTTTAGGGCCAAGGGAGTGTTAGGGGTAGCTCCAACAGAGGAGATTTCAGGGCCCAGGGAGTGGTAGGGGTAGCTCCAACAGAGGAGATTTCAGGGCCCAGGGAGTGGTAGGGGTAGCTCCAACAGAGGAGATTGTAGGGCCAAGGGAGTGTTAGGGGTAGCTCCAACAGAGTAGGGCCAAGGGAGTGGTAGGGGTAGCACCAACAGAGGAGATTTCAGGGCCCAGGGAGTGGTAGGGGTAGCTCCAACAGAGGAGATTTCAGGGCCCAGGGAGTGGTAGGGGTAGCTCCAACAGAGGAGATTTCAGGGCCCAGGGAGTGATAGGGGTAGCTCCAACAGAGGAGATTTCAGGGCCCAGGGAGTGGTAGGGGTAGCTCCAACAGAGGAGATTTCAGGGCCCAGGGAGTGATTGGGGTAGTTCCAACAGAGATTTCAGGGCCTAGGGAGTGATAGGGGTAGCTCCAACAGAGGAGATTTCAGGGCCTAGGGAGTGGTAGGGGTAGCTCCAACAGAGGAGATTTCAGGGCCGTGACTAGGTAGGAGCGACACCTGGTGGAAATTAGCACACAACGAACAAAGCCTAATAACACAGATGCGAACGGAGCACTGTCCTACAGGTAGCTACCTAAATCTAACCAACTCACGAACGGGGCACTGTACTACAGGGAGCTACCTAAATCTAACCAACTCACGAACGGGGCACTGTACTACAGGTAGCTACCTAAATCTAACCAACTCACGAACGGGGCACTGTCCTACAGGTAGCTACCTAAATCTAACCAACACATGAACGGGGCACTGTACTACAGGTAGCTACCTAAATCTAACCAACGGACGAATGGGGCATGGTCCTACAGGTAGCTACCTAAATCTAAACAACTCACGAACGGGGTACTGTCCTAAATCTAACGAACTGACGAACTGAGCACGGTCCTACAGGTAGCTACCTAAATCTAAACAACTGACGAACTGAGCACGGTCCTACAGGTAGCTACCTAAATCTAAACAACTGGCGAACTGAGCACTGTCCTACAGGTAGCTACCTAAATCTAAACAACTCACGAACGGGGTACTGTCCTAAATCTAACAAACTGACGAACTGAGCACTGTCCTACAGGTAGCTACCTAAATCTAAACAACTGACGAACTGAGCACGGTCATACAGGTAGCTACCTAAATCTAAACAACTGGCGAACTGAGCACGGTCCTAAATCTAAACAACTCACGAACGGGGCAGTGTCTTACAGGTAGCTACCTAAATCTAAACAACTGATGAACTGAGCATGGTACTACGGGTAGCTACCTAAATCTAACCAACTGACGAACTGAGCACTTTCCTACAGGTAGCTACCTAAATCTAAACAACTCACGAACGGAGCACGGTCCTACAGGTAGATACCTAAATCTAAACAACTTACGAACGGAGCCCTTGCCTGTAGTTAAGTATAGTGTTAGTTAGTTCCTCAAAGTCAAAGTTCAGTATTCTTCATCTAAGCAAAGAGTGAAACTAATCTTGGTAAACAATGAAGCATTGTCACGGAAAGCGCACTTTCGCATTTGCGGGTCCAACAATTTGGAACGCCCTTCCTGTCGATCTCAGAAACAACCAGACACTGGAGTCCTTTAAAACCGATTTAAAGACACATCTATTTCGCAAACACCTTCTGGGATGGTAGACACCTGATTTTCCAGTTAATACATAATGGCTGTGTTGCTTATGGTTGAAATGGCTAGAAAGACTTTGACATTGTATGCTTGTAATTAGTTTTGTAGTGTTGCGTTTGTTTTAAATGTGGTAAATTATAGATTTGTTTTTTGTTGACTTTGTACCGCGCTTCGAGCCTTTGGGGTTGAAGCGTGTTTTTGAAATGAACTTTATTATTATTATTATTATTATTGTTCTAGGCAGTTAAGGCTTTAATACATTCGCTATCAAAGTCAATATACTGTGTTTAAATTGTTGGTTCTAATTAGGTTTTTATTAGATTTAAAATATGCTTTAAGTTAAAAAGGCCCCTATAATTAATTTAATTTCCTCCGCGAAAGGAATGTTTAATTTTAAGTTCAACTTTGGATTGAAACAAATTGTTATGAAAATGGTTCTTGCTTTCTTTCCTTATTTATTCTTTATTGATTACTTTCTATAATTTTTATTTATTGGTAAAAATCATTATTCAATTGTGTGGCGCAATTTACTTTTATATTTTTAATAAGATTGTAGCTTCATTTGAAAATATATGATCCAGCCTGGACTTTAATTTGGTCATTACAGAGACTGAAGAAATGCAAATAAAAAAGCTAACATAATATTTCTACTGGTTGCTGCGATGGATCACCACCAAGCAATGGCAAAGCAAACATTTTAAAAAAATTATTAACCGGGCAATTCTGATTCTTTCATTAAACTATACAAATTAACTTTGATTGTAACCTTTCAAATATTCTTTTTAAAATTATAATAATCATTAAAGCTAAAAACAAAGAAACAGCAAAATTGTTTTAAATTAACTTACCTAATGAAATATGTATTATTATGAAGTTAATGATGAAGATGACACTCCAACTATGTAGCGAATGAAAAATAAAATATTAGACAATTTGGTTGGTTACTTTGAAATATTTCCAAAGGACTAGAAAGACTTTGACATTGTATGCTTGTAATTAGTTTTGTAGTTACTTTGAAATATTTCCAAAGGACTGTCTCCTCGAAAACGGTCGGTAGGAAGTGTAGCGGACAGAGTGTGGCGGACAGAGTGCGTGCAAGTATTTATTTAACCCGCCACTCTCGCCATCCTTCTCGCGTGCTGATTGATCAAGACGCGCATTTTATTCCCTGTCCAGAATATTTAGCTGGTGAAGTAGCCCAGAAATATGTTAGCTCTGAACTTTTCATTCTCTCTTATTTGGTGTCGTATATAATATAAAGATTGTCCATTCATCACGTTACAATATTGCGTAAAGCATCAACATTAGCAAAAACAAATTAAATCTCACTGTTGAATTTGTTTAAAGTTATGAAATTCATGAACCAAAGACTGACAACTGTATCAATGTTTGCATAAGTGAACGTAGTTTCTGCCAAGATCCCCCAAGCCTCCCGCCATTCGTTCCTTAACGAAGAATCTCCTAACCCCCTCCCAACCGCACGTATATGTGGCCGTTCGCAAATTACGTCACGCCAAAAATGACCCCCTCCCCCGTCTCAAAGTTTCACAAATTCTTTACCCCCCCCCCACCGTTATGTCACGTCACACCTAAAAAATAAGTAATTCAAAACATAGATAAAATGTTGATAACTAAACTAAGATTTTATTCTTGAACATTTTCCCATAATGGATTAAGATGTAGTATTATTAATAGAAGACTGTGACGTAAAACAACGAAGTCCTCACCAAGCCGATTATAAAATGCCAACACAAGTTTTTGCGTCATTTTTCGATATGAGCCGAAGGTGTGAGCGACTGAGTTTCACGGTACTTACAATACCTGAGGCAATTTCGACCTCAAATTAATGCTTGTAAAATTAAATGAATAAAGATTGTTCAAAATTTGAAAATGTTAGATTAAACAAAAAACGTTTGACGTCAGAAATTTTTTGACCCCCCCCCCCCTTTTTTTTTCCACAAATTGTCACAAATTCTTGCCCCCCCCCCCCTCTTCGAGCGTTACGTAATTTGCGAACGACCTCTATCAGACTCTAACCGCTATCCCCCCCACCCAATTATTGCATGTCACTTTACGTTCACGAATGCCTTAAATTTAAAGGCTATATCCAGCATAAAACCCTAACCCATGAAACATAGCATTTAACCTTAACCCATCAACTTGTAACAAAAAGCATTTAACCCTAACCCATCAACTTGTAACATATAGCATTTAACCCTAACCCATCAACATGTAACATATGGCATATAACCCTAACCCATCAACATACAACATATAGCATGTAACTCTACCTATCTGTATAAGAAAAAATGGAAATATGGAGTCGAGCTGCGATATGTGCATGTGCTGTTGGTTCCTGGTTATTATCCATAATAGATTTCACTTTTGTTATATCAACGCTGAGTAGGGACTAGAGGTATGTTCACCTCAAGACAGAAGGTTAAATTTGCATTGGGGTACCCTAACAAATACCGCCCCGGGCGAGTTCCGAAAATTGTGCCTCCAAGGCCGTGCGAAAAAAAGGGGGGGGGGCACTCACAACGGGAGCACCAAAGACGCTGAGAATCTTCATACTTTTTGATAAACTTTTACAATTTAATTTCTCGTATTTTCCTTTTTAACCTCATTCATTTCACATAAACACCCCCACCCCCCTTAAAATAAAGAATTTTTTTTTTTTAAAGTAATGCCCCCCCAAAAAAAATCATTGATGGGGGGAGGGCATGTTGGCATAAATGTCTCCTTTGTTGGGAATAATCAATTTTACCAACAACTAAACCGTGAAATTGAGGAAGCGCGTTCGATGCTGAAAAGTATCATTTTAAATTACAAAAGTAGTCAACTGGAAGCAAGGGAAAATAAAGAATAGCATTACTGCATTTAGATTTAGTTCACATTATGGACACCACGCTCTAAATTCTTCAGCAGTGGCGTCCCCCACACTGCTTTAGTGGCGTAATCAAAGTTGTGCTATCAGGGCAGACCATGATTTCCCCCCAAGCCATCCCTCACAAAAAGCTAGCGATATACCAATCATTGTTCAACATTGTCTTCAAAATATGCTGGGGAGCAATTACCGTATGGGTTAGGGTTAGGGTTAGGGTTAGGGTTAGGGTTAGGGTTAGGGTTAGGGTTAGGGTTAGGGTTAGGGTTAGGGTTAGGGTTAGGGTTAGGGTTAGGGTTAGGGTTAGGGTTAGGGTTAGGGTTA